TATTAATAAATATATAGTAGAGTTTTATAATATACTTACCTAATGGTATAAAAATAAAAGCTAAATTGCATGCTGCACTGATAAAGAAGCCACAACACAGAGTTTTCCTTCTACCAAATCTATCCAAGGTTAACACTGCACTATAGAATCCCGGTATCTCGACAGCAACGGTAAGGATATAATTTAGATATATTGTGCTGGACAGACTCGTGGAGTTAATCGATAATCCGTAGTATATGAATATTGTGGTCATCCACCATATTGGGGTCGTGCACACTCTTCTGAATAGGACGCGGGAACGAAAGATAAATGCTATGAGGCTTCGTTGTTCGCTCTAAAATAAAATACAGCTAATGATCAGGAAATGTATTAAGATTTCTCAGCAAAGTTTGGCTAACTCAAGCTCTGGTGGCTTTAATAATAACACATTATTCAAATTTACTTACGTTTTTGATAATTGTGGGAGGATTCAATAAAGCATCCATGGACGTTGCACTTATTTCAGCGTTATTTGTCTTTGCTACATTTTCTAGCACATTTCTAGCTTCATCATACTTCTGCTTAGCTAATAACCACCGCACGCTTTCGAAAAGAATCCAGTGATATGACAATAGGAGAAAAACGGGAATGTAAAGAGTGAGGATGAGAGTCCTCCATGGGCGTACAAGCCAGGCAATTGCTCCCAGCAGTACCTCACCAAAGGCAAACGCTGATGACGACGTGGCAGAGGTAACTACGCGGTACTTGGGACCGACTAGCTCGGCAGCTGTAAGTATATTAATAAAATAAAATAAAAACCTGTGGTGAGACAACCTTCTAGGTCTCGGCCTCAGATTTCTGATTCCATTATAGATAAATGAGCTAAGTTTACGCAAACCGGAAACGGAGTACGATTTGTTAAGTTGAAGAGATTGGGTAAAAAATTTAAGTGCTTTTTCTGTCTTGCAAATCTTGAGACGACATATTACCTCGAGACTTTAATTTATCTATGAACTAAATATATATGTACATACGCGTAAACAACGTGATCAATCAGAAAATCTATTCTGGTATCTCTTCAGCGCACAATATGAATGGTGTTAGTGGCCATTGATCCACATTTAAAACTGCCCAAGAGGGACCGTTAGACCACGGGATGAACAATCGGCAGGATTGGTTTCGCCGGAAATGTGGTAGAAGTTTTGAGATAAAACCTCCTGAATATTCGTAACTCTATTAGCTACAAATGTCTTTATGCAGTGAGGACTGGAATTTATCCAGTTTAATGCAATCGTTGAATCAGACATAGCGACTACTCGATGCACAGAATTTTTTTTTTCAAAGTGTCACGGCAGTTATTAATTTTGTCATGGGGTGAGCGGCACAGAGCTCAAGTCGAGCTAAAGAAACAAACTTTCAGCGGTGTAATCTTATATTTACTGTACAATAGCGCATAAGCGGTCCATAGACGAACCGCATGTTGCAGTCAAGACCGACTGCAATATGAAAAAAATATAGAAAAAATGAAATTTTCACGGAATAAGCGTAAGTATTAAAGAATATGAATATATTAACCCAAACATACTATCCTACTTGTTTTCTTAGAGAAGATTCTTTGATGGTCGGATATCAAAATGCGTCTTCATCAGATTTAATCTCGTCAGGAAATCTACATGCCATGACCTTAAACATCAGCTCAGCTTTAAGCCTTTTAAATACCTTGATATCAGATCCTTTCCTACCATCGATTGCCTCGGCCGCTTGCCTTGACAATAACGGACACCAGCAAAACCCTATGGTGAAGCATGTAACGATTTTTTTGTCCCACTCACGATGATGATACGGACTACAGCAACTGTCCCTCAATCAAGACAGTTGTGCATTCATGTCAGTTGTCTCCAGCGCCTCTTATTCGATGTAGAGGTAAAAAATGTGTCCAAAATTATGATGATTGGAAATACAATACTAGAAAGCGCTTAACAAATGGTGGAAAAGAATACTCCTCCAAAAAGGGATCTTAGAAAAATACGAATTTTGTCGTGCTTGCATTGCAATAATAATATGGAACTTGGAACAGATTGCGTGGATTCATTATTTGGTGATCATTCATCGGCCTTTGTTCTTGTTCTTTTATCCTTATCATCCACAAATAATGATTAATTATTCCATTAAATTCAACCATAAAGAGATTTATTACGAACGTTCCCTGTGAATTTTTTAGAAAAAAGAGATGTAGGTAGATACTCATTACGCATGATCATTTTCACCAAATCAGGCACAATCTATTATTAAATACGTAAATACGGATAATAGATTTATAAAAACATATCAGCTATACTATTTACAATCGTAATTGTCTCCCTTCTTTGACTGACACCGATTTAGCGCAAACAGACCCATTGAACTAAAATCTGATACTATAATCTTAGACAGATCTGAAAGTACAACATCTGCGTTACCTCCTAGAGTACCATCGTCAAGATACCAGACGTTAAAACGGTTTACGAGTAGAATGTGTTGTGAAAATCAAGCTTATATTGACGTCAGTAAATACTAAACACTGACAAAAACACTGTGGAAAAACATTATGAAATGAAATACTTACCGAATATATATGCGGAACTCGCTAAACCAGCACCTAGTGTAGTCTCCAGAAGTTGAAGAATTAGAAACATTGTATAGTTTACCGAGAAGGCTTTGGAGATGCCAAAAAGAGCAGTATTGAAGACGCTGAAGAGTAAAGCCATACGTCGGCCGAAATGATCAGAAATGAAGCCAACCAATGGTAGGACCAGGAGTGTTCCAAGACTGCTAAGCGTTCCTGAGAGCGATCTCAGCCATTCTTCACATCCCAAATCAAACTATAAAGAAACAGTTGTATATCATCAAATGCATCAAATATAAGAATATTAAATGAAAAATCAAAATGAAAGTGCCCCCGATAATCTTCGAGAGATCATCAGATCATACATGGGCTTCCAAATGTAAGGTTTAAAAACAAAATAAATACACAGTAGCGTGTAAGATTTCTATGCCGAAAAAAGGAACAGCAAGATAACAAACTATTTTTGAAGCGCGGGTTAAAAAAATCTTAAAATTACCAACATCGTACACCACAGAATTATCTCCTCCATACACAAACCCGTCACATTTTTTAGTACGTGAATGATCGAACAGGTCTATAGGGCAATCTAGCACGGAACTGTTATATCCAGGATAGACAGACACATATCTCTCGCAACTTGCAAGCTCAGATTCCTCTTCTATGACTGGTATCGCGTTTGCTATCCATTCTGGGTGGAACACCGCACTCTTGTTTCTCTCGCCGCATTCAGGGATACGACATCTGTTGATTGTATGCATATAGTTTATCATACAACTTCATTTCCTATAAATATCCAAGTGAAAGACAAAATAATTTTATTTCATGATAATTATAGCTCTCGTTTTTCAGCTAAAAAACATTGCAATTAATTAGGTTATATGAAACTCTTCATAATTGAAATGTGTTTTTTTATTTCATCAATGGTTTAAACAACATTAATTTACATAAATAGTACCAGAAAAGAATTTTGTATTAAAATTAAATTCTGTTACGAATTACAAAATTCTAAAAATCTTAATAATTCTTAATTTAACATATATTAAATAATAAATGTGTCTCTTGCGCACCCCAATGGAATATTTTACCTACTACGTATATATTTTACATAAATATAAAGGGAAATGTCACCGGAATAGGCCAAAATAACATAATAACCTTCTGCATAAGGATTCCCATATAGCACGAGGGCGGAAACATAATAACCTAACCTAACATCTTTCAAAAGTCATTATTTTCTTCTCAAGAAAGATAAAAACAAAAAAAATACTAATGTACCTGTGTGGTTGTGCAGCTGCTGTGAAGACATAGTCACTGAAGAAGGCAGCTGTCATCATCGGCAATGCGATGAGGCAGATATATTTTAGCTGGAATCGCCCAAACTGGCCCAACTCGTTCACCAAAACATAGTCTAAATCAATATTTTTTTCTATAGTATCAGAACTCTCACTTGTGTTAATTGCCATGTTTTAGGGACGTCTAAACCTAATTGTGAGAAAAGAAATTGTACCAATTATACTACCAGATCCTAATTTTAATAAAATTAAATAATTGTTAAGATATTAAGAAGTTTACTAGCGAGAGGCTTAAATGTATTTAGATTTGTGATAGTGAATATGATATGTGACGATGTCTTGGGTATCTCGTTTCAAGGTGATATTTCAATTAGTAAAGAACAAACTTATTATGTATCAAATATGAAAGATTGAAAATGTTTGTGGGCATATGATGGTTAATAATTATTTTTTTTATTTTCTACACTACATTTTGTATAAGTAGTTTATAAAAAAAAATCTGTTTATTAAATATGCATTACAATGTGTACGATTTGGGAACCCTTTTAAGTAAGAAATACCTGTGTCAGGGTTCCCAGCTCTTCCATAAAAAAGTTAAGTATAAATTCCTTAAAATATATTTATATATAATTTAATTACATCTTTTATTTTATTTACTTTTCAACTGTTATCAACACGCCTGAGTGTATGATTGAGTGTGTGGGTGCAAATGTGTAAGTAAGTGAGTGAGTCAGTGAGTCAGTGAGTGAATGAAAAAAGTGTGTAACTACGAGTACATACTAGGTCTCAAAAGCATCTCTAACACTACGCAAGGTATGCTCAGAAGCCAGTCTTTTAGTCGTATCTTTACAATGTAGACGGTGAGCGGGTAGATGTTAAGCAGCCTATTTAATTTATTATATTGAAAGCGTGAAGTTAATGCTGGTAGGTATTTAGTCGGGATATGATTATTATCTATATAGCCCGTCGTAAAATTTAAGATAAGGCAACCGAGTTTCAGCGGTGTATATAATTTCACTTATATTAAATAAATTACATTTTATAGAAAAAGAAAACCTTTCTGCCTTAACATGTAATTCAACTTCTACGCTTGATCTTATACATTTATAATCGTGCTCTGAATTTTATTTTCCAATGGTTTCGGCTTCCTCCAAGGTATCCGGCAATTTCCTTCCAAAAGTTTCGGGCTGCGTGAGGACCAAGAGGCCTGACATCAACCCCAATATAGCGAACACTGTGTTTGGCAAACCAAGCCAATAATCAGTCTGAAAGCATTGCCGTTGTATACGTAATATTGTTAACACATTTTACATTATATTATGTATACACATTGTAATAACTTACAAGAAGTGGTGTAAGAGGTGCGCATATAGAACCAATCCGACCGACCATAGATGAGAAGCCCAATAGACTGTGTCTAAACTCTGTGGGGTAGAGCTCTGACGTATACAGGTACAGAGACGTGAACACCAGTGAAATACCGAATTTACCAGCGAGGTACACTACCAGCCGGAGCACTGTGAGCTCTAAAACAAAGAAACAATATAAAATTACGCGAATTTAGCCTAAATTGTACACTTTATTAAAAAGAGACTTACCTGGTGGTATAAAAACGAATGCTAAGTTACAGGCTGCACTAAAAAAGAAACCAGTACAAAGAGTCATCTTTCTCCCGAATCTATCCAATGTAAGCACGGCCGTGTAAAAGCCTGGTATTTCTATTGCAACTGTCAGGATGTAGTTGAGGTATATTGTCTTTGATAGATTCGTGGAATTAATAGACAGGCCGTAGTAGACGAATGTTGTGCATATCCACCAGATCGGCGTAGTACACACGCGTCTCAGAAGAATTTTCGATTTAAAGATTGATTGTATTAGATTCCGACGATCAGTCTGCAAATTCTAAAATACTTAAAGAATGTTAAATGTTGTTACTTTGAAAGTATATTTAGATTTCTGGTATTTTTAGTTGCCAGTGTCGAATAGAGTAATAATAACCTAATGGTTAAGGCACTCACTTGCTTGCCGATTAAGAGGGATGAGATTGGGGTCAAGGGACCTCATTAATGATATGATGATAGATTTATAGGCTATGTCTAATTATGTTAGACCTTCCGTAAGAAATTTTACGATTTTACAAACGACGCCAAACTCTTTGGTATAATAGCTTGCTAAACTATTTATACAAGGAGTTAATTATTTCAAATAATAATATGTACATACTTTTAATTTCCTTGTTGGAGGATTCAATAAAGCATTCATAGATTTCGCACTTATGTTTGTTTTATTTGTTTTAGCGACATTTTCTAGTACTTGTCTTGCTGCCGCGTATTTCTTCTTTGCTAAAAGCCACCGGACGCTTTCAGATAGTATCCAATAGTAAGACAAAAGAAGAAAGACCGGGATATACAGAGTCAGGATTAGAGATCGCCACGGGCGGACAAGCCAGGCTACTACACCTAGGACTACCTCCCCGCAGGAAAACGTTGCCGAAGATGTAGCGGACGTAAGCACTCGATACTTAGGGCCCACTAACTCGGTGGCTGTAATTTAACAAAACAATAATTACATTTATGGAAGATAAATTGAATTCTAATAATAGGTCTGATTAAATAAAATGTCTGATTAAATAAAATAACTATTTTGGCTAATAAGTGCCAGTTAAGGCTAGAAAAGTACTAACAAAAAATGTAAGCTGAACTTGCTAATCCTGCTCCTAAAGTAGTTTGCAGTAGTTGTAGAGCAAGAAACATGGTGTAGTTTACTGAAAAAGCCTTGAAAACCCCAATCAAGGCCGTGTTGAAGACACTGAAGAGTAATGCCATGCGTCGCCCAAAGTGGTCAGAGATGTAGCCGACAAGTGGTAGGACCAACAGCGTGCCAAGACTACTCAGTGTCCCTGCCAAGATTCTGAGCCATTCTTTACATCCCAGGTCAAACTGCAAAAGATAATTCAATAATATTGCTATACTTTTACGGTGTAATTCAAAAATTTGGTTAGTAAAAGATACTAACGTCGTATACAACAGAAGTGACCCCATCGTAGACAAATTCATCACATTTTTGTGTGATTGAGTGATCAAAGAGATCTATGGGACAGTGTAGCAAGGAGCCGTTGTAGCCAGAGTGCGCAGGCGCATATCTCTCACAGCTTGCGAATTTAGGGCCTGCATCTGTTAGTGGTATTGCATTGGTGATCCAGTCCGGACCGAAGACATCACTCTTAGTGCTCTCACCGCACTCGGGAATACGACATCTGATGGAGACATGCATCATTATTTTTACTAGATATATAATTATTATAATAATATAGTAGTATATATCTAAATTATTCTTGATCAATAATGCAATATCCACTTTTTTATAGAACAGGTTGCAAACGGGCAGAAGGCTCACCTGATGTTAAGTGATATCGCCGCCCATGGACTGGCGAACTGACGCTCTTCGTTGAAGATCACTTCACAGTAGATAAAAATAAAATAGCCTATAATCACAATTCCAACGTAACACAAACCTATGTGGAATCGCTGTGGCCGTAAACACGTAATCGCCGAAGAACCCCGAACTCATCATTGGCAGTGCAATGAGACATATGTATTTAATCTGAAATCGTCCAAACTGGCCCAACTCATTCACCAACACATAGTCCAAATCTACACTTCTTTCAACCGTTTCTTCAGCGTCCACATCCTTGGCTTCACACATTTTGCTAACGTAACATATAAAATGAAACTTATAGTATTTAACTTAGCACTGTATTGGAATTGGTACTTTATAGAGACCAATTTAATCTAAATCGTTACGTTTATCTTTGTATCGGTATTGATATAGTGAGAATGTAACTTTAATCTTATCATATTGACAGAGGACTACGGTTTAGATATAGTCATAAAGAAGCTGAGGCTACCAAGCAGTTAATAGAGTTATTGATCACGCTTATATAATAAACAGCAAACTTATTAAAGTATAGTATATATATATATATATATAGTACAATAATCCATTATTTAGACAGTATCGAAACAAATTTTACAATTATTTACATACGCACATAGGCAAAACGTTTTCAATATGATCCGTGTGATCCGTTCGCGCCGCAAACTTTGCAATTCGAAACGTTTCACGCAATTTAAATGTGAAGTAGGTGTATCGTTTTTTTTAGTTTTACTTTTATTGAAATGTTTTTTGGAGCGAGTGCTCATGGTGTATTAAAGAAATTTATTAATTAAATGCATCTGGCTCACTTGACCAAGAATTTCGTCTTTATTTTAAACATGTACCTTTTTCATTCTCTATATGGTTTTTTTAGTCTATTCTTTATGTCTTAATTATTATAAATCTTTTGCAGTTTCGCATTTCTTGTAGTCGCCATATTTCATATTATTTTGCCTTATCTCGCTTACCTTATACGCTCGAAAGCGTTAAGGCAGTCGGTTGCCGTCCTTATTAATATTAGGTCCTTACATATGAAATTGGCGTATTTCGTACTGGCCACTTTAATCACGATGTTCTCCTCTTAGGTAAGGGAGGTAGCAACGTTTGAAAAGAAAGAATTTTAGGTCAGCTGATTTTGTGATATGTCTTCCTTCTTGACTTCGGTTAGAGTCTGGGCAGTCTGGTGGGGTAGCGGTTGCGTTCATTATGGCATCCTATCTGTCTAGGTAATAATCTGGATTTTAAAGCATTAAAAGCGAATTTTTGATTTTTCCTTTTAAATACGTCTACCTGACATACTTTTTTATTGCCAGACATTTTTCACGTTGCTAACTATGTGCCAGACGCGATTTTAAGTTGTATTTTTATAAAAAATTCAAAGCATTTTAGAATGTCTGTAATTTTAATATTATGTTATTTAAATATAAGAAAAACTGAAAATGAATTGCCAGACATTAATTCGATTGTTAAGTCTTGAATTAAAAATGATAAAGTATTGCAGTATGATGAAGCATTGCATAAGAAGGAATTTTTGATTTTTCCTTTTTAAATACGTCTACCTGACATACTTTTTTATTGCCAGACATTTTTCACGTTGTAACTAGGAGAGGATAAGTTTTATTTTTATAAAAATTTCAAAGCATTTTAGAATGTCTGTAATTTTAATATATGTTATTTAAATATAAGAAAAACTGAAAATGAATTTGCCAGACATTAATTCGATGTTAAGTCATGAATTAAAATGAAAAGTATTGAGTATGATGAAGATAAGAAGGTAATTTTGATTTTTCCTTGTTAAATACGTCTAGACAACTTTTTTATTGAGACATTTTTCACGTTGCTAACTATGTACCAGACGCGATTTTAAGTTTTATTTTTATAAAAGTTTTAAAGCATTTTAGAATGTCTGTAATTTTAATATTATGTTATTTAAATATAAGAAAAACTGAAAATGAATTGCAGACATAATAGTAAGCTTGAATTAAAATGTAAAAGTATGAAAAGATTGCAGTATAATGCTTGAGTAGAGCAAAAAGGAATATAAAATTTGATTAAAATTAATAATCAAACTTTATTTAAATTGTCCTAATTACTAAATGTAAGTTATGAATAATTAATATTGAGTTTTACAAGTGTTTTAGCCTAAGTGACGTCAAAAAAAGAGGCATCTTATAATCATCATCATAGGTTTGTGGTGTCATTCATATCATCTTTGGGAACTTTCGTTATCTTCTAAATCATTGCAACAGAAAAAAAAATAAACAGTGAATTTTCTTGTTCGTATTAACCATTTTAGTTATTATTGAAAAGTTCCATTTAAACTTACTTTGAACAATAATATCTGCAATGAGGATAGTAATTCAGTTATGGTCCACCCAAAAGCCATTGGAGATAAAGATGTTGGATGTTTGAGTGAGATTTCTCCAAATTTTCGTCACGTAACGAACCCTCAATAAATGTGTTCAATTCCACTTTAAGGGTGGCAAATGGATGAGTCAAAGTTTGAAATTTTTTGTCAAAGTTCTCATCTGATTTTTTGACTTAAACGTACTTGAAAATAAATTAAATCGAACATCATTAACAATCGAACAATTTTTAACTCCATAATTTGACAAATAAATTTCTCCAGGGTTACAAACGTAGTTTCAAGTACTTCTTTATCATCCGAAATTATATTATCAAAAGCTAACTGGTATTCCTCGAATTTCTAATATTTTAAAAGGCTTAACTTTGCCTTTTCTAAAAAAAGCTGGCGTGTAATCAATCCGGTGATTGCGTGGAAGCATGGTAAAGCTTTGAATAAAGAGTCACAAGAATTAGTACAATCATTGATGTTTATGTAAGTGATGTTTCCAACACCCATATTTATCCAAATTTTCAAAGATTTTTTCAGGTGATCCATATTTCCCAGAAGTATAATTAAAATATCAGAATCAGAACAGCGTATAACAACTTCTGCGTCAAAATCGATTTGGCAAATATGAAAAATTATCCTAGAATAAGCTTCTTCGTGTTCTTCACACGATAATGATTCTTCAATAGTTTTAATTCAAGACTTAACAATCGAATTAATGTCTGGCAAATTCATTTTCAGTTTTTCTTATATTTAAATAACATAATATTAAAATTACAGACATTCTAAAATGCTTTGAAATTTTTATAAAAATAAAACTTAAATTCGCGTCTGGCACATAGTTAGCAACGTGAAAAATGTCTGGCAATAAAAAAAGTATGTCAGGTAGACGTATTTAACAAGGAAAAATCAAAAATTACGCTTCTTAAAATGCAATGCTTCATCATACTGCAATACTTTATCATTTTAATTCAAGACTTAACAATCGAATTAATGTCTGGCAAATTCATTTTCAGTTTTTCTTATATTTAAATAACATAATATTAAAATTACAGACATTCTAAAATGCTTTGAAATTTTTATAAAAATACAACTTAAAATCGCGTCTGGCACATAGTTAGCAACGTGAAAAATGTCTGGCAATAAAAAAGTATGTCAGGTAGACGTATTTAAAAAGGAAAAATCAAAAATTACGCTTCTTAAAATGCAATGCTTCATCATACTGCAATACTTTATCATTTTAATTCAAGACTTAACAATCGAATTAATGTCTGGCAAATTCATTTTCAGTTTTTCTTATATTTAAATAACATAATATTAAAATTACAGACATTCTAAAATGCTTTGAAATTTTTATAAAAATAAAACTTAAATTCGCGTCTGGCACATAGTTAGCAACGTGAAAAATGTCTGGCTATAAAAAAAGTATGTCAGGTAGACGTATTTAAAAAGGATAAATCAAAAATTACGCTTCTTAAAATGCAATGCTTCATCATACTGCAATACTTTATCATTTTAATTCAAGACTTAACAATCGAATTAATGTCTGGCAAATTCATTTTCAGTTTTTCTTATATTTAAATAACATAATATTAAAATTACAGACATTCTAAAATGCTTTGAAATTTTTATAAAAATAAAACTTAAAATCGCGTCTGGCACATAGTTAGCAACGTGAAAAATGTCTGGCAATAAAAAAGTATGTCAGGTAGACGTATTTAAAAAGGAAAAATCAAAAATTACGCTTCTTAAAATGCAATGCTTCATCATACTGCAATACTTTATCATTTTAATTCAAGACTTAACAATCGAATTAATGTCTGGCAAATTCATTTTCAGTTTTTCTTATATTTAAATAACATAATATTAAAATTACAGACATTCTAAAATGCTTTGAAATTTTTATAAAAATAAAACTTAAATTCGCGTCTGGCACATAGTTAGCAACGTGAAAAATGTCTGGCAATAAAAAAAGTATGTCAGGTAGACGTATTTAAAAAGGAAAAATCAAAAATTACGCTTCTTAAAATGCAATGCTTCATCATACTGCAATACTTTATCATTTTAATTCAAGACTTAACAATCGAATTAATGTCTGGCAAATTCATTTTCAGTTTTTCTTATATTTAAATAACATAATATTAAAATTACAGACATTCTAAAATGCTTTGAAATTTTTTATAAAAATAAAACTTAAAATCGCGTCTGGCACATAGTTAGCAACGTGAAAAATGTCTGGCAATAAAAAAAGTATGTCAGGTAGACGTATTTAAAAAGGAAAAATCAAAAATTTCGCTTCTTAAAATGCAATGCTTCATCATACTGCAATACCTTATCATTTTAATTCAAGACTTAACAATCGAATTAATGTCTGGCAAATTCATTTTCAGTTTTTCTTATATTTAAATAACATAATATTAAAATTACAGACATTCTAAAATGCTTTGAAATTTTTATAAAAATAAAACTTAAATTCGCGTCTGGCACATAGTTAGCAACGTGAAAAATGTCTGGCTATAAAAAAGTATGTCAGGTAGACGTATTTAAAAAGGATAAATCAAAAATTACGCTTCTTAAAATGCAATGCTTCATCATACTGCAATACTTTATCATTTTAATTCAAGACTTAACAATCGAATTAATGTCTGGCAAATTCATTTTCAGTTTTTCTTATATTTAAATAACATAATATTAAAATTACAGACATTCTAAAATGCTTTGAAATTTTTATAAAAATACAACTTAAAATCGCGTCTGGCACATAGTTAGCAACGTGAAAAATGTCTGGCAATAAAAAAGTATGTCAGGTAGACGTATTTAAAAAGGAAAAATCAAAAAATTACGCTTCTTAAAATGCAATGCTTCATCATACTGCAATACTTTATCATTTTAATTCAAGACTTAACAATCGAATTAATGTCTGGCAAATTCATTTTCAGTTTTTCTTATATTTAAATAACATAATATTAAAATTACAGACATTCTAAAATGCTTTGAAATTTTTATAAAAATAAAACTTAAATTCGCGTCTGGCACATAGTTAGCAACGTGAAAAATGTCTGGCTATAAAAAAAGTATGTCAGGTAGACGTATTTAAAAAGGAAAAATCAAAAATTACGCTTCTTAAAATGCAATGCTTCATCATACTGCAATACTTTATCATTTTAATTCAAGACTTAACAATCGAATTAATGTCTGGCAAATTCATTTTCAGTTTTTCTTATATTTAAATAACATAATATTAAAATTACAGACATTCTAAAATGCTTTGAAATTTTTATAAAAATAAAACTTAAAATCGCGTCTGGCACATAGTTAGCAACGTGAAAAATGTCTGGCAATAAAAAAGTATGTCAGGTAGACGTATTTAAAAAGGAAAAATCAAAAATTTCGCTTCTTAAAATGCAATGCTTCATCATACTGCAATACCTTATCATTTTAATTCAAGACTTAACAATCGAATTAATGTCTGGCAAATTCATTTTCAGTTTTTCTTATATTTAAATAACATAATATTAAAATTACAGACATTCTAAAATGCTTTGAAATTTTTATAAAAATAAAACTTAAATTCGCGTCTGGCACATAGTTAGCAACGTGAAAAATGTCTGGCTATAAAAAAGTATGTCAGGTAGACGTATTTAAAAAGGATAAATCAAAAATTACGCTTCTTAAAATGCAATGCTTCATCATACTGCAATACTTTATCATTTTAATTCAAGACTTAACAATCGAATTAATGTCTGGCAAATTCATTTTCAGTTTTTCTTATATTTAAATAACATAATATTAAAATTACAGACATTCTAAAATGCTTTGAAATTTTTATAAAAATAAAACTTAAATTCGCGTCTGGCACATAGTTAGCAACGTGAAAAATGTCTGGCAATAAAAAAAGTATGTCAGGTAGACGTATTTAACAAGGAAAAATCAAAAATTACGCTTCTTAAAATGCAATGCTTCATCATACTGCAATACTTTATCATTTTAATTCAAGACTTAACAATCGAATTAATGTCTGGCAAATTCATTTTCAGTTTTTCTTATATTTAAATAACATAATATTAAAATTACAGACATTCTAAAATGCTTTGAAATTTTTATAAAAATACAACTTAAAATCGCGTCTGGCACATAGTTAGCAACGTGAAAAATGTCTGGCAATAAAAAAAGTATGTCAGGTAGACGTATTTAAAAAGGAAAAATCAAAAATTACGCTTCTTAAAATGCAATGCTTCATCATACTGCAATACTTTATCATTTTAATTCAAGACTTAACAATCGAATTAATGTCTGGCAAATTCATTTTCAGTTTTTCTTATATTTAAATAACATAATATTAAAATTACAGACATTCTAAAATGCTTTGAAATTTTTATAAAAATACAACTTAAAATCGCGTCTGGCACATAGTTAGCAACGTGAAAAATGTCTGGCAATAAAAAAGTATGTCAGGTAGACGTATTTAAAAAGGAAAAATCAAAAATTACGCTTCTTAAAATGCAATGCTTCATCATACTGCAATACTTTATCATTTTAATTCATGACTTAACAATCGAATTAATGTCTGGCAAATTCATTTTCAGTTTTTCTTATATTTAAATAACATAATATTAAAATTACAGACATTCTAAAATGCTTTGAAATTTTTATAAAAATACAACTTAAAATCGCGTCTGGCACATAGTTAGCAACGTGAAAAATGTCTGGCAATAAAAAAAAATATGTAGGTAGACGTATTTAAAAAGGATAAATCAAAAATTACGCTTCTTAAAATGCTTTTAAAATCCAGGATTATTACCTAGACAGATAGGATGCGCACTAATGAACGCAACCGCTACCGCCAGCCAGACTGCCCAGACTCTAACCGGAAGTGCAAGAAGGAAGACATATCACAAAATCAGCTGACCTGGAATTCTTTCTCGAAAACGTTCTCCTCCCGTACTCTTAGGTAAGGGATTTCAAATTCAAATTTGTACAGCTATTTACTCATGTATTTGTACTTCGATGACCGTCATTCATTTGTTTTTTTCTTCTTTTTTTTTTCTGTTTGCGTCACTCATTTTACAAAATGGAAAACTTAAAGTATCTCATTATTTACGAGTACGAGTTCCGCCGTGGCACTAGTGCTGCGGAAACGACTCGAAGGGTGAATGATGTGTATGGCGGTCATGTTGCAAAAGTAAACACAGTTCGTTTTTGGTTCCAACGTTTTCGTTCTGGAAATTTCGACCTGCAGAACAAGCCCCGTGGACGGCCTGAGACCTAAGTTGATAATGAAGTATTGAAGGCTATTGTGGAAGCGGATCCATCGCAAACCACGTCCGAGTTAGCTGCAGTCTGCGGTGTTAGTGATAAAACTGTTTTAATTCACTTGAAGCAAATTGGGAAGATTAAAAAGCTTGAAAGATGGGTACCTCACGGATTGACTGAAGCAAACCGGCAAACGCACGTCGACTGCTGCGTTTCATTACTGAACCGGCACAATAATGAAGGTATTTTAAACCGAATCATTACCTGTGATCAAAAATGGATTCTTTGCGATATTCGGAAGCGCTCAGCGCAATGGTTGGATCCTGGCCAGCCAGCCAAATCCTGCCCCAAGCGAAAATTATCCCCAAAAAAGTTACTTGTAAGCGTTTGGTGGACTAGTGCCGGTATTGTTCATTGCAGTTTTCTCAAATCTGGCCAGACTATTACGGCTGATGTCTATAGTCAGCAATTGCAAACCATGATGGAAAAGCTAGCAGCTAAACAACCTAGGCTGGTCAATCGCTCCACGCCACTGCTACTTCACGACAACGCTAGACCACACACTGTACAACAGACGGCTACTAAATTAGAAGAGCTTCAATTGGAATGTCTAAGACATCCTCCGTACTCCCTGGACCTTGCTCCAACAGATTACCATTTTTTTTCGAAATTTGGACAACTTCTTGCAAGGGAAAAAATTTAACTCCGATGGGGCAGTCCAAATCGCCTTCACAGATTTTATTGATGGGAATCAGGTCCGACAGGTTTTTTTAGGGATCAATGAACTACCTATGAGATGGCAAAAGTGCATAGAAAACAATGGTTCATACTTTGATTAATTAAATATACATATTATATTTAAAAATATTCGACTTTTTGTTCCTCCCATACAGAACGCCAATTTCATATGTAAGGACCTAATATATTCTAATTGTACCGATTTCTTGAAACGAAGTTTTAAATAGTACAAATCACATCATAATATATTCTAGAGACGTGTAATATGTTCAATGAAGTGTCAAATATCCAATGTGTTGTTCTAATCTATACTTATAATATATATATTTCTTCTGTGCGTGTGTGTGTCCCCCCCCCCCCCCAACCGGTTTGTTTGTTTGGGGGTTTTTTTTGGGGGGGGGGGGGGGGGGGGGGTTTTTTTTAAAACCCCCCCCGCCGGCCGGGGGGCCCGCGGGGGGTTTTTTCATACTTTGCTTAATATCCTAATCGCTTTAAATATCATGCAGGACAACGTCTGTGGGGTCCACTAGTATACTATAAAATTTTAGCATGATATATAATCCGCATCAAGGATTGTTTTTATAATTTTTTTTCCACAAGTATTGCAAAATTAAACTTATATGAGATGTTTTCTGTGTTTTTCATTTCTCAAGCATTCAATCACAATGTGCCACAGCGAAGCGTGGCAGGGAACAGCTAGTATTATAAAAAGAACATTTTTTCCAAGAAAACAAATCCTTGTATTTCATTTCAAATTGTTACTGTATGTATTTAATTTCTTATTTAACCCTTTATATATAACTTTTTTAGCTAGGTACTTTCCTTTTAGTGGTAATGAAACTGCCGCTAATTTGAGACCAGAAATTACATCTGATTTATAAAAATAAAACAATGCTTTTCTTTCTTTTGTCGAAACTATTTTCATCCTGCAGAAGAGGGCTATTCGTGCAATCTATAATTTAAAATGTAGGGAATCTCTTAGAGATAAATTCAAGGAAATTAATATACTTACCTTTCCCTCGCAATATATTTATGAATATATTATGTATGTATACAAAAATAGTGATAAGTTTACTAGAATAGAACATACGCACAATGTTAATACACGGAACAAACGCAGGCTGCAATTTCCCCGTACTAGACTATCTAAAGTTAGTAATTCTTTTTTGGGGAAAGGGATACTCTTCTTTAATAAAATCCCAGAGGCTCTTTTATCACTGCCTTTCAATAAATTTAAGAAATGTATTAAAGAAAAGCTGTGTAAAAAGGCTTACTATAAAGTCAACGATTATCTAGTTGAAAAGGGGGTGTGCTAGACAGGCTACTTCTAATTAATTTGCGATATTTGTTTTAAATAAGTGTTGTTTGATGATTTGCTGTTTTAAAAGAGTACCGAGAGTTTTTTACGCCGGCTTAATTTTCTCTCGGCCTACACCCTCGGTCTTCTTTGCCGATGAGTAGGGATGCCTTCAAATTTAATGACGTGGAATAAGTGATACATGTATCTTATGTTCCATAATAAACATATTTTATTTTATTTTATTTATTTTTATGTTAAATAAAATGGGTAGGTACCGCTGTAATAATATTAATTTGCTATATACGTGAACAAAATATATTTCGGGTGTTTAAAAGTTCTAGTCAGTAATCAGTACATAACAAGAAAACAACAAAACAAGAAACAAAAAAATATTCAATGTTTTCTTTAAAAATATTTTTTTTTTTATAAAAATCTTAAATGTTACGCAAAATAAATACCTACTTTAAATAGGTAAATTACATAACTTAAATTTGGTATTAAAACCTTGTACTTCCACTTTGAAAAATTTAATCTTTTACGCCTTTATCTTTCCGATATCTTCAGCTTCCTCCAGGGTATCTGGTAGTTTTGTTCCAAGTGTCTCTGGTTGCGTTAGAACTAGAACACCAGATATCAATCCCAAAATAGCGAATATTGTGTTTGGCAAACCGAGCCAAAGGTTAGTCTGAAATGGGAATGCGTCGCTTAAAGTTGTGTCCGTCTAATACGTATTCAAACATAATATTTCTTTACGTCTACATTTCGTTCGTTTTACAGACAAGTGTCTGATTATCTGTTTGTTTGTTCCAACACGAAACAGTTTCTTTCGGCGATAAGCCCTCCCTCGAGGGTAAGCTCTCCTCTTCATGCAATAGATGAAGACGAATATTGAAATAGATGATGTTAAGTGATATAGGTAATATCTTGTCACTAGGATTAAAAAGAAAAACTTACAAGTAATGGTGTAAGTGGAGCACAAACAGACCCAATTCTACCGATCATTGAAGAAAACCCTAAAAGACTATGTCTAAACTCGGTGGGGTAGAGCTCTGACGTGAAGAGGTACAAAGACGTAAACACCAGTGAGATACCGAATTTACCCGCCAAGTACACCACCATGCGGAAGGCAGTCAACTCTGAAATAGATGTTAAATTATATTACCAACGCAAATAACGCAACCAAATAAAATACGGTATACTAACCTGCTGGTATAAAAACGAACGCTAAGTTACAGGCTGAGCTAAATAAAAAGCCGGTACAAAGTGTCACCTTCCTCCCGAATCTATCCAATGTAAGCACAGCTGTATAAAACCCTGGTATTTCTATTGCCACGGTGAGAATATAATTTAAATACACTGTTTTTGACAGGCTTGTTGAGTTAATAGAGAGGCCGTAGTAGACAAACGTCGTCGTAATCCACCAGACTGGAGTTGTACATACACGTCTGAGCAGAACAGGGGATTGCAATATTGATTTTGTCAGACTATGATTCTCGTCCTGAAATATCAATAGAAGTTGAATCCCGGTGCACCGGGTTTTCTAAACATGCCGCTTTTCCGATACCTTAGGTATACCCGAAGAGTCTTCCAAATAATATTATAATAAAGAATTGATCACCAAACAGATACAGAAATCTGAGGCCCAGATCCTTAAAGGTATTCTTTGTATTACAACTTGAAAACTTATTTATTTCCTAACATTCAATATTGATACTTACTCTTTCCGGTTTAGTGGGAGGATTCATCAATGCATTTATAGATTTCTCGCTTATTTCGGTTCTGTTAACTCTTGCGACATTTTCCAGCGCTATTCTAGCTTCGGCGTACCTTTTCTTTGATAAAAGCCATCTAATACTTTCCGAAAATATCCAGAAATAAGATAAGAGAAGGAAGACTGGGATGTAGAGAGATAGTACCAAGGTCCGCCAAGGCTGAACAAGCCAGGCCACGGCACCGAGGACTACCTGACCAGTGGCAAACGTAGAGGAACATGTAGCGGAGGCAAATACTCGGAACTTGGGGCCAACTAGCTCTGCAGCTGAAACATTATCCTATAAGTTTATTTTGAAAATATATATATTATTTCTGCTTAGTATGATACAGAAGAGAACTAAATGACGAAGAAATCGAAACAATTACCGCCATATAAAATGTTAATGCTTTCTTCGACTGTATGCATATTACATGTATAATATTTAGCAGGTATTGAAATAACTTTCTATTGATAAAGTCGTTATTTGAAGGTTACCTACCAAAAATATAGGCAGCGCTAAACAATCCACCGCCTAACGTTGTTTCTAGTAGTTGCAAGGTCAAAAACATTGTATAGTTTACGGAAAAAGCCTTGAATACTCCTACGACAGCCGTATTGAAGATGCTGACGAGCAGAGCCATGCGTCGTCCATAATGGTCAGAAATGTAACCGATGAATGGTAGAACTAGTAACGTTCCTAGGCTACTTATGGTCCCTGCGAGAGTTCTGAGCCACTCCTTACATCCGAGATCAAACTAAAACGACAATACATTTTCAACTATCGAATATTTAAGAGAACAAAATATTAATTTTACTTATATAAATGAATTGTGATCAATTATATAAATAACTCGACGTTCGAGTGCTTTGCTGTTGTCATCGGCGAGAGGTCAATTTATATCCGCTTAAGAAATTTTATCAAGTACTCAAACCAAGACAAAGACCAAAGACCAATATTATTTATACCAATTATTATTTTAACGTAAACACTCACGTCATATACGACAGAAGTGTCTTTCTCGTACACAAACGCATCACATTTCTGGGTATTTGAATGATTGAACAGATCTATGGGACAGTGCAGCAAAGAGCCATTAGGGCCAGTGCCTGCAGATGCATATCTTTGGCAACTGGAAAGCGCAGAATCCCCCGATTTTACCGGCACTGCATTGGTGATCCACTCTGGGCGGAAAACGGCACTCTTATTTATTTCGCCGCATTCAAAAATGCGACATCTGAAATTATACGGTTCTCACTAAATCGTTTCACAATTTAATTACTAGATAAGTCACAACTCAAATAAAAAAAAACAGTAATAAAATACATTGTTATCTTTTTCGATGACACGATTAGCGGTGGCAGACAACTGGTAATTAAAATGTATGCTGATTAGTAAAAAAACATCATCGAAATTTGTATCTTCGAAAGATATAAATAAATCATTTGCAATTATAGTAATGTCTTTATAGATAAGTTTTAATATTAATAATTATTATAATAGAATATGCATCAAAACACCAGATCCATTACAATAATTTAACGCTGACTAGCATTGCCTTATAGCAATTTTATCCTCAATAACCGCAATCTACAGCGCCATTTCACCTAGACCTTTAAACATCTGCCCTGCGATTCTGTAACTCACTTTTGGAACTCACAAAGCGGTTTTCGCATCGGCGGTCGCTCTCAATCTCGTGAACAGTCATTTTATGATTTGCATTCTGAAAAGTGGGAGCTTGTAGTTTATTGTTTATAGAAGCAAAAAAATGACTCCTAGACACTGGGGGTTGGGGAGCGCCCCCCGCGCCGAAACCGCTGTGTGGGTTCGAACAGTGAGTTACAGAATCGCAGGGCTGATATTTCCCTATGTAAAATTAACATGACGGTAAGTATAAGAGGACTCCAATGGAACACTGCATATTATTTAGCATTCTATTGTACATACATTTTAGATAAAATATTAGTTTGACTTCTTACCTGTGCGGTACTGCAGCTGCTATGAAGACGTAATCACTGAAGAAAGCTGAGCTCATGATAGGCAACGCAATTAGGCATATGTATTTAAACTGAAATCGCCCAAACTGGCCCAACTCGTTAACCAGGACATGGTCCAAATCTATTACTTTCTCACTTTTTCTCTCAGATTCCAAACTTTCACTTTTGTCAGTCATTTTATTTAAGAAATAAAATTCCAAACAGCGAGCGCTGTTTTAACTCGTCTCGTTCGTTGGCTTGCTCAGGTTTATTTCATTGGATTCGTTTTTATCACTTGAAGTATTCTTAACTACTTATAGTAATTAAGAGTTATTATTAATGTTGTCTTAGAAATGCTTGATGTCCTATGTCGTTAATATAATAACTTATTATTATTGAAATAATGTTTAATACAAGTTATTGGGACGTCCACTACCTCAGCAAGCAAAGCGACGACAGATAATAAAACATAATATTTACATGGAATAGATCAAACACAAAGTCGCTCTTACAATTTATTATATCCCACAGTTGTCTGATCTAAATACCAGAAATATTTGTCATAATTTTATTAGTAATAATGACTAGGTACCTAATTAATGCTATTGCATTGCTATCAATACAACATATTGTTGTGTCGCGAATAATCAATCTAATATTTCAAACTATTAATAAGAAATCGTGTACTATATTGTAGAACAAATATATATCTAGAAAAGGAAGCACATACCAATAACTTTTAAATTGTAAACAAGCTTAAAGGCGTAGAAAGGACATCGGCGGAGGTCGGAGACGTAAGTATCGTCTTTACACTTGATCCATTCGAACAAGATGTATGTCAATATAACTTAAACAGATAATGAAAATGAAGATGATCTTATCTCATAGGGATTTATTATCACAAACTACAGCAGTTACTGGCTTGTACAAGATTACGGAGACGAAGATATTCACAACAACGTATTTATGATTGTTAAACCGACGTAGGTAAGTCATATAACTGTTTTTCTATAAGTATTATTTTAAATTGATAAATTTTTCGTTTTAAATTGAAGAATATACCGTTTTTCCTAGGTTACATTATTAACTATATTTATCATATACAGATTTCCTTCCACTTAACATATGAAAAAGTATTTTGATAATAACTAACCGAAAAGTTAAGAAGAAAACCTTTAACACCCGAATTACAATTTTAATCACTCAAAAGTCAGATAAGCTTTCGATCAATAATTATTAAAGTTACAGGACACAACCGACACCAACACGATTACACTGGTTTGTACCTATGTTAATTTAACTTAGCTTTAGAGTCCACTGGCCAAATTGCATCACTTTCTGAGTACGACCTTAACCAGTAACAACGTTTAATCTCTCTCCAATATTAGTAGAACTAATGGATATTGCCCGAATTCTTTGTTTCTAATAGTAACCTATTAACTAAGAACTACCTTCTTATGCGCTAAGTTTAAAAATAAACGAATCAGTGAATGTGTACGATACATGTGTGGTCACAGTTATTGCCAACCTGTTACTAACATTTTCATTGGAAAATCGAAAGTATTTACTAAGTCTAAAAGCATAAAATTAACAATTTCTTATTGAGGTCGTGGTTATCTGGTGTGTGTAAGCCTTTATCCAGATGGTAAGTATGTTGATCATCCATTTCCTGATTACATTATCAGACAGCAAAGACATCTCGGATATAATAGCCTCATTGTGTATACAACTCGCATCCGCTAAGATGCAAGAGGTGTGACCGGCTATGACGCGGCTCTGCAGATTCGCATTATTATATATGAATACTTTTAAAATAACCTTCAAAACTTCGTAAAGAGTGGATACTATATGACAGATACAAAATTACCATAAACCTGAATGTTATAATTTAATTTGTGGTAATAATATAGTATATAATATTCAATTCATTTAGGTGATGTCTATGGTAGATACGAAATCTATCTCCATAATAACCTATCAATATCGATTTAGCGTTATTAATGCGTTATAATTTTACATATAATTCGTATCAAAATAAGATGCTTTTGTTCGACAATTATGGCATATATAGTACTGTGAGGTAGATATAATTGAATTGGTTCTACAAATGATATCAATTTAAACACTGAAACCATTGAAGTCAAATTAAGGGTTAATTTTCTAGACCGTGAGATGACATAATTTTACCTATATGACATAATTATCAATATAACACAAAACATATCAATAAGAAATAAGGCAATTACATTGCACTCCCTTGATATAATTTTATTATTATTTTTGAACACAAATAAATGAATTAAAATTAATTAAACTTTTGCGCCTATTTAAATTATTCGAGCAATTTTTTCAACATCATTTTGCGCATTACCTTTGTCAGGCATATCGTTAAAATTGCATAAGACGTGTCGCAACAGAGATGTTTGCAAACAAAGTAAACCCAACCAAACGCACAAAAATTCTATAATTAATATCATTTAATTTATACGTGTTTATAATTTGTTGCACAGAAATTTTCGGTAAGTTTCAACACTAGGTTTTATTTTGTTTATAGGCAATAGGTACTAAATAATAGACATGTATATTTGCTGTACACTTATTTGTCATTACTTTACACTGCAGTGATTCCCAAAGTGGTCTATGACAACCTGCAAGGGGTCTACGTCAGCGAAAAAAAAATTTGGGGTTCCATGAAATGAAAATGGGGGTCCACGATAGTGGATCTCAACACATACACTGATAGTACCTAGTTACTTACATCATACTATCTGATAATATCAAAACATATACATAATTTATAAAAGTACCTATGAAGTAAAAAAAATATTATGTATGTTTATAAAATTGTGTAAATTGTAGGATGTTGGTATTCGCTTTGTGGTCGCAATACATTTTGAAATTTACAGGAAATCAATATCAGTAAGTAAGGGGTCTACCCAAAACATGGCAAGGGGTCTACGACACAAAAAAGTTTGGGGAACTCTGCTTTACAGCATATTTAGAACGTGGTATCCAAATGCTCCTATAATATTTACACATTGTTCTTTATGTAAATTATAGTATTGAGCTCCCAAATAAACTAGACTAGACCTATCGTTTATCTTAATTATTTAAATAATAATCGGCAGATTGAACATATTCAAAATCTTGTTTTGCCATCGCATAAAATAATGAAACCTGCCAGTTATAAATAGAACCTCGTTTTAAACGGCACGCTATACGAAATAAAATTAACCCATTATCTAAAAACGTATATTATTGATAAAGCTAAAATAGCTATAGATGTTTTGTTTTTATCATTGTGACAACTAATGAATGTGACAAAACATCATCTACTCAGCACTTACCGTATTCAAGTTTAAATAAATAATAGTTATTTTAGAGATAGATAGACAGAGAACAATCCCTATAGGTATTATACAATATAAATAAACTATGATTGAGGTACCTACCTAATGTCGGGTATAAGCATGTTTCGATGCCGTCTTACTTACATTGATATACAAAAACCCAAGATGCACAATCAACGTCTAAAAAACGTCCTCAAAAAATGAGCGCAACATTCTAAATTGTGCGCTCATTTCAAATAGTCTCGCGTCTATAAGTGGAGTCGATGTTATTTATTTGTGTTTTTTTTATAAATAAATTTATGTACTCTTGAACTTTTTTGTGTGTAGTTTTTGACAAATATATTTACGCTATATAAAGTGTGGGTCAGGAGGTAGCCAATTTAACATTTTTTTTTAATTTAAAGAAAAAGCTTTTTAACCGGATTAATGTTATGTATTATTATAAATTTACAACTATTTCAACATCCAACACCTTTTGTCTTCAGTCACCGTGACCACTCACGCTGTAAAGCACCCGAAAAGTCGGATAAATTCAAAATTATGTTAAATAGTTGTAAATAAAAAAGTCATGTTCGACTCCACTCAATACCTTGTCCTACCGACCACGGTCGGTCGTAAAATTTTATTGCTTTAAGTACGTATACACTGCGTTGTAATAACAACTTTAAGCAATTCGCGTAAGGTTGATTTTGCAATAATATATGCTTGTAACATATACTGTTATGGACAGAAATAGTGTTTCGGGACACTTTCGAGCGTTACTTTTATTCGAGACTGTGCATCTTGGGTTTTTTGTATATCAATGGCTTCAGTATTGTTTTTGGTATACAAATTATATTATTACCTACATTTTATGAAAAAAATATTTGTTATTAACGTTTATCGGTCGTCTAAGATTTCTCTTAGGTGCTGCCTTATACAGGTTGGCCAAAAAGTCGTGGATCAAACGCAAATAGGGGATGGATGAGGTCATCAGCTGCAAAAAAAAATTCTACGGGTGGTCTCTAAGCTCAACCCCTGCAGAGTTATAATTTATTTTGCGTTTTTATAAGAAAATTGACTTTTCTATCATAAGTCCGAATCGTTGTTGTGGTTTTTTCGTCCTAGAAAGATATTAGAGAGACTCATGGCCATGTGTAATACCTTTTCAGAATCCCTATTAAATGCGCCAAAACTTGTAATACAGGGTCACTTTTCGGTAGAGTAATTTTTTTTCACAGTGGGGTCCGAAGTAGACAAAAAGTTATGATTTGAAAAAAAATGTATATCGTATAACTTAATATTATCTTCAATACACTCAATAAACAACTATAAATAGTATGTCTAACGCAAGAACTCATCAGTACCAATCTAGTGGATAGTATGAAAAAGATACAGAATGTAGATATTTTCGAATTTCAATAAGAATTAGTAAAAAAAGCCAATTTTCTTAAAAAAACGCAAAATAAATTATAACTCTGCAGAGGTTGAGCTTAGAGACCTCCCGTCGAACAATTTTTTGTATCTGATGATCTCATCTATCCTCTATTTGCGGTTGCTCCACGATTTTTTGACCACCCTGTATATATTTGTTAATTTCCGGATTGCCACAAGCGAAACGTTTACCAAATAAAATATATTTTTTGTATATACATTATACACCTTTACACAGCATAAAATAAAATAGTATATAGGTATCCGGCTCATCCTCATTCATAACAAGTATGATCAAAGTTTCACTAGAACTCTCGTGTCTTTTCATCACAGCTCCCACACCATTTGTCAGAAAGAGATCGACTATTTCAGTGAGTGTATTCTTAGTAGACGACATTATTTTTCTATTGAATGAGATTATGGAGCGCAAATTAAGAGCGCGTAGGAATTGCAGACTCGTGATAGTACAAACAAAATTCAAAGGGAACCAACAAACCGAAGCGCGACACTTAAACCTAGTCCACTATGATGTCTGTGGTCTTTTTGGATCTCGGTGCAATAGCTATCCCTTCAGCCTGCTTTATGGTATCTGGCAGCTGGATGTGGAGAGTTTCTGGCGTGAGCAGCATCAGAAATCCTGCTATCGCTGCCATTAATCCGAATAAAAGGTACGGCAGTGACGGCATGTACTCCATCTACAAAAAAATATATTTAAAAATAATAACGTAATCCACATTTTTGTATTTGTTGCAAGAAATACAGTACAATTAAAATAATTAAAAAATAAGAAGTGCAACGGGGGGACATACTTATCACTGTCGAGTGAAGGAAAAAAAGTTAAATAAGGTGAGCGCAAGAAGTGCAAAACTACATAAGATATACAATTACTTAGACAAAAATAATGTAACAAAACAATGAAATAAAAAAAATAATATGTAATCAAAGCGGATAGGGACAGGAAGCGAATTCCATGCTGCGGAGACCCTAAAAGATCGCCAAGAAAGGAATTATGTGATAGAATTTCAAGAATATAGTTCTTGGAAGAGCGTAGGCAATAGCTATGAGTTCCCAAGAATATAAAATCGTTTTTGAGGTAAGAAGGAGTTTTAGGATTGAAGAGGATGGAAAATAAGAGATATAGAACGTGATAATAACGCCGCTGACAAATGGGATACCAGCCTAGACCCTTATGGAACGCAGAGATGTGGTTATACTTTCTTAGATCGAATATCAAACGGATAGAAAAATGTTGCAGATGATCCACTTTATTAAGCAATTCCGGCGATATATACAGGAGGTTACCTGGCCCCATCAATTTCCGAAGTAAAATATGGGCTGCCAATGATAATAACTTTATCAAAAGTTAAGTCTGAGACCAAAATCTTTACTCCAGTCAATTATCGTCGCCATCTCATCGTTTGTTGATTGTATGGCTTGCTTGGCAGCTCATTGAGACTTCATTGAACGTAGATTCGATAACGATAAAATATAAGAATTAGATAATAGACGGAAAGGAAAAAAAACATAATATAAATAACAAAGAGAAGAGGAGCGAGTACGCCGCCCTGCGGAACCCCAGAACTCCACTGAGACCATTGAAATTGCTGGGCTTAATGCACTGACAGCATGTAAATAAATATTAATAGAACTTCGCAAACCCAGGAGAATTTCAAAATGTATTGTATTAAAAGCGTTGCTGATATCTATCAGTGTGAGAATTGTAAGCTGTTTGTTGTCCATGCCACCGCGAATGTTATCGGCAACCCTGACCAGCGCAGTAGCCGTGCTATTTTGTTTAGAAATTCATTTAGTTTTCTCATGTATAAAGCGTTCAAGCATCAAGTATCAATCGAGATAGGTCGGAAATTGGAAAAGTTAGTAGGATTAGCCTTTTTAGGAATGATAAATCCATCCTTCTAAGAGGCAGGAAATTTAACTGAAGAAATTGAAACATTAAAGATATCAGTGATTACAGGATGGACAATGATTTTGATCAAGGTAGAGAAGGAAAGTACAATACTCCAAGAAGAATTGAGTTTTAGTGAGTATATTAAATATAACGTACAAGTATTTTAGATCTAAAACCATAAATGCAAAGACGATACGTTTATTGGACAAGCTTTTTAACCTCATTTTTTTAAATAGATTAAAAATGTTCAATGTTTTTGTTAGATTACCCATTTTCTTTGATTAATTATAAAAATGCCACGACACATGCGATCATGAAACAATGTAGGTAAACAAGTTATCTGTTGGAATTTCAATGATATGACACTTGCTAATTACTGTTCATGCCCTTCAAAGACAAACAATTATTTCTTCGTGCAAATATGTATTGAATATACCTACTTGATATTTAATAAGTTCTATAAAACCATGGAATATTGACAAGCTACATAGTACATACTACACTAAGAGACTAACATACCTATTATATATAATTCTAAGAGTGCATTATAAAGACAATTAGAAACGCGAATAAAAAATTTTGATCTATAACATTTTAACAACTACATTAGCTAAATAACCGACCAACTACACCCTGTATACTAATCTAAGTACGAGATCAAACCAGCAGAGGTGTAAGTGGTGCGGCGGTGGATCCTATTCGTCCAATCGTAGAGCAGGAACTTATCATGGATTGACGCACCCGAGTTGGAAACAATTCTATTGTGTATATGTAGATAGACGCAAACACCATGCTGATCATAAACTTGCTCACCATCGTTAGAGCTGTTCTCTCTGCAACATCAGTTTCTAAATGAGGTAGCTACCTCTAAGCAAAAGGAGCTCATTCTACTTGTACATTATTGGTATTAAAAAGCTTGCTAGTAGATGATTTTAGGCATAATTTTCAAGTGCAAGCTGATACATTAATCCCTATTCATATCTTAAAGAAAGACTTGAACTTTAGACGAATGAAGCATGTGAACTGCTACTACAGATGAAAATACAATATTCTATTTTGGTTTCTAAGAGTTATATGATCGCATTACGCAGATGTGTTTCTAAAATCTATTAAATTCTTACCAAAAGGGGGGTCTGTGGGGCGATGAGCTGCCCTATTCTGCCCCCCATAGAGCACAGCGCTACCATCGTGTGACGGACGGATGTGGGGTACAGTTCTGATGTGTATATGTATATACTACTGAACACCATACTGATGGCCATCTTTCCCAACAAGTTGAGGCACGTTTGAGCCCACTGCACATCTGAAATAACCTATCTCTACACTACCATACTTTAATGATGAAAAACTTTTATACAAAAACTAAAAAAACTAGGTTATCTATTTAAATTTACCGATATGAGGGCATTCAGCAGTAATTACCATTTAATAGCGAATGTACAAATACGATGATTTAAAAAATTAAACTAACGTTCTGGTATGAATGGCAGTCCGAGCAGTGATAATCCGCAAACGAAGAATGCTGTCATAATAGACGCCTTCCTCCCGAAGCGGTCCAAGGTCAACACGCTGAGACAGTATCCCGGAATCTCCACCAGTGCAGTGAGTAGGAAGTTTACGTAACTATTGCCCCCGAGGGAAACAGAGTTTATGGATAGGCCGTAGTAAATAAACGTCACTGTGATCCACCAAAACGAGCAAATAAATAATCTCGACATCAAAACCCTGGAGCGGAGGACTTGCATCGCCAAAGATTCCTTCTTATCGTCGTTGGTAGGGACGGAACCTTCCAATTGAACATTCTCATCGGTCAATAATTTTATCGTCTCCGGGGATAATTTCTTTTTGTTTATCTCGGCAGCTTTGAATATTATTCTTGCTGCCTCCTTTATTTTTCCTTTGCTTAGCAGCCATCGGACACTTTCTTCTATAATAAAACAGTATAGGATAAATATGAACGATGGAGCGTAAAGGACCCTCGTTAATGTTCTCCATTCGGGAATTCCCCAGGCGATGAGTGACACGAACGCTTGCCCGATGGCAAATGCACAGGATATCATATTGCCTCCGAGGACTCTGCGGTTGATTCCCACCATCTCTAAAGCTGCAAAAGAATCATTCATTTAAACCAGTGAAACTATTTGCAGTTCATTAACCTTAATAATCACACAACGGTCGTAGGTTGGTATTTCACTATTTTAGTGTTACTTTATAATTCATACAGATGAGATGTGACGAACTTCGATGGTCTATATTTTATAATGAGCTATATCAACTTAAACCACTAGCTCTACATAATCGATGATCGAATTGTTCAATGCCCTCACCCAGAATGAAACCCGAGGTGTAGACGCCTGAGCCGACAATAGCTTCGATTAGCTCAAGGCTAACGTACATGATGTAGTTGGTGGAAAAGGACCGGATCACGCCCACCGCCGCAGGTGCCACCGCCGTCAGGATAAACGCTACGCGTCGACCGAATCTAGAGATTATATTATTTTGATATGGATTTCTCACAGTTTCAAGTTCGTTTGAATACATATTAAGTCAGCTACTGGGTCGTTACTTATTTGGGTCTTATTAAAGTTAAAGATTGTTCAATAACGTTTATGTATCAATCAAGGATAAAGAAATGGTGCTAATTTTCGGAAAAGCACTTTATTATTATTATAAACAGTAGAGTGGAGTGAATAACTTACGTGTCAGATATATAGGCAGTAAGCGGCAGCGCGATGAAAATGCCTGCACTGTGTATAGTCCCAACCAGCGTTCGCTTCCACTCTACGCATGCCAGGTCAAACTGGTTATGGAAAATGAACAAGAGTAAAGAGAAGAGAACGGTTTACTCACACTCAAGTGCTGTGCATATAGCTGTCTTAACTACTTGTAATCAAAATTATACTTACGGTGGCAACAATAGTATTGTTGTGTTCATAAACCCAGCTATTGCAACGTTCCGTCTGGGAGTTGTTAAAGGCATCCGCCGAACAGGTGTCTCCCGTAGACACATATCGCTCGCACCGGCCGCCCGAGTCCGGCAGCGCCCAGGGCCCCCAACCATTGGTCTCGAAACGAGGCGGCGTTGCCTCACATTGGGGCACGCGACATCTAACATAGGTTTAACATATCATATGACAGGGATTGGCTAACCAGTAAGCCTTTGCTTTTCCATTTCTTTAATGCTTTTAAGACCAAAACAAACAGGGAACCGAATCTATGAGCTGCCTCATCTAATGTTAAGGATACCACTGCCCATGGACACTCTCAAAGTCAGAGGGATCGCGAGTGCATACGGCGTTCTACCTACAATAAATTCTAACGAAGAAAGAAAAATTGTGATTACAAATTCCAAAGATTTTGTAAGCCGTTATAACGTTATTGATAAGCTAATTTCTATCGTGTAGAACTGATAATGATTTTTAATCAAGGTTTAAGGAAGTTTGCTATCTCAGAATGCCACGATTGGCTATTTAGTCCCAACCTAATATTGCTACGCAACGTTCAGAAGATTTATGGCAGTTGAAATCACGAATGTTAATCTAAGACATCCTGCTAATCAGATCAAGTTGCGGAAATGTCCTTCGCTAAGTATTATGCTGAATTGCTGCATAATTCATGGCCTGGAGCTGCCCCTTTTTATACGTAGGTAAAACGATAACATTGAATATTATAAACAAAAAGATTGTCGTAGTATGAGTATCTTCATGCGAGTATATTCATAACACCTACATGATTCAACGAACAATATCATTCTCTAGAGAGCGAATTTAATAAAGACAATAATCCGCTCACATTAATCAACTAATCCATACAAATCGATAAGGGTTAATATCGAGGCATCGCGTCCAAAATTCATAAAGTGTGTGTCATTAAAGCTATAAATATCCCGATGTTATAATGCTACCCGATCCTATCAATTGGCAAGAGTAGGTAATAATAATGATCACTTTTAATAATACACTGCCATATTTCTATCAGGGCACGATAATGTCATATTAACTACTTTAGGACAAGCCGTTGGCGATAAACCTAAGCCACGCTTAGTGAGCTAAAAAAACCGACTTCCAAAAAGCTTATAACATTAATGTAATACGATGAGAAAAAAATGAGATGAGAGTAAATACAAAAGAAGATTTATGAGGAGTGGCTTTCTATTAGTGTACTAACAGTGTACTAATAGAAAGCTAAGGAATAGACAGATTAGATCAAAAAGAAGTTTGCAAAAATAGCTATATTAATTTTATTATAGGCTTTCTTTGGTTTATATTGTTAATAGACAAATCATTTAAATCCTTAAACAGTAGTAATAAAAACTATTTTATGAATAAATAGACAAGATAGATAGATAGACAAGATAAATGATAATTTTCACGTTGTCAACGTAACAAAACCATTATTTAGCACGGCAGCGACCCCGAATCCCACGACGATTCCCTTCCGCGAAAACTTTATAAACAAAATCTCTCACAATGATATTATTTGTTCAAAACAATTATTGCGTATAATCATTATCTCAAGCAGGTGTAATGTTATGTGTTACAGAATTGTTATTGGCAATAATTAGATTATGGTGGTACGATGTACGAAATTAATAGAGGCAATAAATAAGAGAAAGAAAAAAGAGCAAGTTCTCCAGAGCTAGTATTACTTTTTAAATTGTATTTTAAAACAATAATTATTTTTTGGGAAAAGAAATTAATGCATTCTTGTTGTCGGCAATATTTGTTACACTACAGTTTATTTTCAAACAATTTCCCCTGATTGTTTAGACCCATCACATGAAATGTTTTTTTTAATAACTCGTAATCACCTGTAATTTATGCTGGCAGCTGCAAAGATATACTGACTACTGTAAATCGCACTAAATAGTATGGGTACCAAGATTAAGAGGTAGTTCTTTATCTGATATCTTCCGAACTGTCCCAACTCCTCGAGGACTAAGTCCAAGTTTAACTTCTTTTCGGACATCGTGCTATAGCGGTCAGCCACTGCGTGTACACACCACGCTCGCGGCGCGTTCGGGCAACGTGTGGCTAATCTGATTGACTTTTTGCGATACAAATCGGTGAGAAAATCGTCACGTGTCGATAGGCCATTTAAATAAAATTGACTCAGATAAGGGTACATATCTGTCACTTAATGTTACCGTCTTTTTATAAAATTTTGCTGCATCCCCCTCGGTGTTAGTGTGAATGCAAGCAAAGGGCGTGAACACACCTGTAATCGATTTTAGCGGCGTTAAAGATGTACTGGCTCTTGAACATGGCGTTGAAGATGATGACGGGCACCACCCAGCCGTACACGTGGCACTGGTACCTCCCGAACTGGCCGATCTCCAGGAGTATCTTGTCTAGCTCCACATCGCGCGGCTTGCACATCTTAACATTTTCACTTAACACAATAACATTACTAATTTGTAGAGCTATTTAAACCTGAATTTATGCAATAGTAATACAAGTAGTAGTTCAAAATCTGTTGTTTTTAAGAAAAAATAATCCACGCTTGTCAAAAGATGGCATTTCATTAAATTTTTCGCAGATTAACATGCCTCGTCACTATGGTCACTTAGAAAAAAAAGTTTTCAATAAAGTTTTGACTGTCGTTGACAAGGTGGAATAATGAAAATCTGAATGTCACGTAGGTAATGTACCAAGAGCATAACCTCCAGCTAGCAGGTACTGTGTATCACCAATAATTTATATTTCCTTAACTTGATCCTAATTAGGGCTGGTTGTGTTAACGTAACGATAGAAATACAGTCGAAGTTTTCTCTTATCCACTGTTTTAAACATTTATCTTCTGATTTAGTAAATTCATAATGTTACTGAAAGTTTTACACAAGAAAGATATCATATCACTCTATTATAATAATTGCGGTATAATTTTATTAAATACTAGCAATGCCTCCCGGTTTCACTCGCGTAGATACCGATCTCGTGGTAGTGGAAAGTAAGTCAATAAATCTTTTATGATAACAGAAATATACCTATAGTCCTGTTATCATAAAAGATTTATTTTACTTAGTTTTCTTAGTTTCTAATTAACTACTTCCTTTTACATTATTAGATACACTTTTATTATTATCTAATCAATATACAGATTTTACTTTACAACGAATATAGGTATAGGTATCTAATACATTTTTAAATTCGTAACATCATTTACGTAGAATTATCCGACATTAGTCAATTTTAAAAAATATACTCTTTAGGTATTGATAAATTAGTATTATGAAGTATTATTATGATTTCAAGAAGATAATGAAATTTTTTTAAATCTTCCCCGTAATTTTTAGCTTGATTATTATAAATTGTTAAAAATAAAAGAAATTAAAATGCAAAAGTTTCTTCTATAATATTAGAAAAGAGATTTATTTGTAGACCTTACAACTTACGTATACACAACATTCAATTGCCCATGGGTAAAACATTATTTTTGTACATATTGTTACATTCTATAAAACTGTACAACATTTTTTTGTTATATCATCAATAGTTTCCACAGCGCACGCGATGAGAGGTTTTTTATGGATAATTTTTTCACGCCTTGGTTTTTGTAATGTAATATAGCTTTCGAATGGTGAAAGAATTTTTGAAATCGGTCCAGTAGTTTTTGAGTGAAAACATTACAAACTTACATACAAAAACACTAATGTTTCCTCTTTATAATATAAGTATAGATTCACTATGATGGTCCAGCAGTGTCACACCAGAAGCTTCTCTGAATATAGTGACTACAATATATCTAGGTGTAAAGCAGAGCGTGACAAACAGCTTCATATATTTATAATATATAAACTGTTGACTGCTATTAAAATATAAACGATCTCGTCGTACAATCTTTTCCGACATTTTTAAGATAAAGTAAGTGTATCGTTTGTTAACCAGTGCTATCTTGTATCTCTTCGCTGCCTTTTCAAGTTTTTATCTTTAAGTAGTGAATACTACCGTTTGGCTAATCACAGTCTCACATTGTAATGCGCCAATGTGGACAGAAACACAATTGCTAGAAGTGATCTTTGTCACGTTATCAGCACGAGATGTTACAAAATTACCGACAATTAAGTTATTATTATGATTGCAGACACGTGTAATGCTGTACTTTCAGCAATAATTATTGTCTCCTACTTGACAGTGTAGTTAGATTACCATCGTTGACTTCTGGTCCATACTTTTGTTTTCCCTGAATGATGAATAAATGTAAGCAAGTAAAAAGTACTTAGCTTGGTGTCATGGTAAATTTCATTACAAACTTTTTGTAAAACAAAAAACTTGGCGGTTTAAAATAGTGACGTAGACTTTATTGCCAGTTCTTCATCCCCTTGATTTGAGAACTACACTGACAGTCAATGAAAATTTAGAAGCATTAATTTTTCTGATGTTCATAAGTGTATATTAAGTTAGCTACCTATGGGAATAATTAGTTATGAGTTTAATTACGTTTTATCACATGTTTAATAATAAATTAGTTAACCAAATTAACAAGTTGTCAATTAAAATGTCAACTGTGTTAATTAGCACCCGTTAATAATTAAGGCGCGGGATTAGCATTTTTTGTTAATCACTAGTTAAAAATACAAAGGATAAGTTAAAAAATAAAACCAGATATTATGTAACGTAATAATTACAGTTTTCCCAAACTTTAATATATACATCAACAGCGAATGCGAACATCTACATAAACGTGTAAGAACAGTTATAAACATATTTATATATCATATATATATTTACAATTCAGGATTACAAAGTTACAACAGAGGCAGCTAAACATACCTTTATCATTTCTCATCTTTCTTGGTCTAAATTCTACGTCCGTTATGTATACGTCCGTTATATAACATACCGCAAATAAACCCAAAGTAAAATATAAAAATAAAGCGCCTAACACAAGAACAAAACAGAGGGCTAATAGTTTACACAGTCGTTGTAAAATGATAAATGATAACACTTTCTATCCAATCCCAACGCCAATCCCAGAGTCACTTAAAATGTAACCAAGACCCATTATACAAAAGCATATCGCCTTATCTTCAAACAATTAATTTGATAAAATATTGAGATGAGAAATAGTATTATTTAGGTTATTGTGCAAATTAAATATCTTCGATGACTATCGTGTCTTATTTTCAAAAAACAATTCACCTGTATTAAAATTCACTGTGAAAACAGAACTTTATCTAATTAATTAATCTTGCATTGGAAATACAGACCAAATACGTCGTAAAGAAATTTTACATTTTAAGGATGTTAATTTAAAAATATATAATTGTAATATTGTGATAATGCTACGTGTTATGCTATCATTCATGAATGAGAATATTTACTCTCCTTTTTGTTTTGTGAACAGAAACAGCACGACTTAGAACCTCGATTGGTCAATCTATTTAATAAACATCTCACTGTAAGTTTTAGAGTTAATATAATGTTTATAAATTTCAAAATGTGATAAATATTTACAAAAGATAAGACACACCAATATTCACGTTAAAATTCATCAAGTTATTGTTATTTGATTAGCGTAATTTTAGTACTCGTGAACAATTAATAATAGCAAAGTGGAATGACGTATTCGCGAGATGATTTTCGTTAATTTATGTTTGCACTAATAGTAAGGTGACATCAATTCCAAGGCATCGAAATCATTACTTTTCACACTCAGAACATTCCTAACCAAAGATTAGTCACAATTTACTCTCGAGTTGAACTCTCGCCACTACTTTAAAATCGTATGACAAGTCTTGAAATTGTAACCTTCCTATATTTTATATTCTCCGATTCCTCTAAATACGTTTTTAAAATCTACAACATACACGAAAATGGCTGTAAAAGAGCCGTATTTTTGTTCTTTTCGCTTTTTATTCTTCAACGATTAGTACACCGAATGAATTAAGGAAGACCAAATGGAGTTTTTATTAAACAACTACTGAATAAAGCTCCGATTAAAAACTGCTAAAATTAAAAGTATCGTCACGGATTTATGCTTCATGATAATATAGGAATCTACTAATTATATAAAATCAAGTAAAAACGTTATTAGAGACAGCGTTATCTGTGGTCGCCCTCACACTCCTGACATCTACGTCCCTATTGTTTATGGTGTCACTGTACTCTGCGACAGCGACGTCTCTGATAACTTTTTATATTATTTTAGGGTATCTGATGGCGTCAATCGACAACTGATCGAAGACAAGTCACATTCAAAATGGTGTAATATCCTGAAATTAATACAAAGTTATTCTTTGAACATATTAAAGATAAAATGACTCAGATAGCGAAGTTACAACAAAATGGCGGACCGTAATTACTTTTGCCTTAACCCTAGTCTCGTTGCGAATACAACAAGAGTTTCACCCGACTTTCCCTTAAGGTAACAGTTCACGTCACTCCGCGATTTCGGAAGATCCCGTCCTTCACGCGACGAGTCCTGAAAATAGTCACCACGATTAAGACTCCCCGGCCGTATGTGCCGCGGCACGGTCACGCGAAGGGTCGTCGGAGCTCACCGTGTCAGAGGTCGGGGCAGAGCGGCGCGAGCGGATGCAGCGCCAGAGCGGCGGCGGCGGCGTCGGCGGCCGCGGCCGGCTCGCCCAGGGCGCCCAGGACGAGCGCCAGCCTGCGCCACGTGTCCGCCCGCCCGGGCTCCAGCGCGCCCGCCTCGCGCAGCGTCCGCTCGGCGAGGCGCAGCCAACCCAAGGAGTAGTAGGCTCCACCTTAAAGGGGCGACGAGGAGTTAACGAGAGACCGAGTCGCGGGGCGCTCGCGAACGAGCGGGTCGGTCGGACGGAGAGAGAGAGAGAGAGAGGGAGCGACAAATAAAAGTTAGGCCTCACCGAGTTGCAGCATGGTGTCCACGTGCGTGGGATGAATGGCGAGGGCGTTCTGGTAGCACTGGCGCGCTTCCTCCCACTCCCCGCACGCGCTGTGCACGCGCCCACGCTGCGTCCGTTAACAATTCATTAATATGCAAAAGCCGATCGGACAAAAGCAAAATCATATTTCACTCACCGTGTACAACACGAGATGGCTGAAGGGCGTCAGAGCGGCCGCCTCCGACACGCAACCCGCCGCCGCACTCGTGCGACCCAACCTGGAACGGGGCACATTCTCAACGCAATGAACGACGTCAATCTCCCTTCCGGTCCCGTCGGCCCCGCTCACCTCAGACAGAGATCGGCCAGCAGCAGCCAGGCGTGGGCGCGATGGTCCGCGAGGGGCGAACGCGCTCGTTGCGACAGCGTGGACGCGTTCTCGGACAACGCCCGCTCCAAGCGATACGCGCCCGCCGATTCCGCTCGCACCGACGCTGTGGGGGTCAGGGAGAGACTAGCGTCAACTTAAGAGATCGGCTCGTGAGGCTTCTCAACCCGGCGGAAGCGGTGATAGTGTCACCGAGTTGACTGTTTGGACTTGAACCGAGAATAAAATATTCCTTTGCATTGCATTGCATTTTTGATCAGGCACTATTTTTAACAGGTGAATAAGCGAGCGCCCGCCCACGTAAGGGGGAGGAGGCACCCACACCTTACCGGCATCTCTCACGCTGTGGGGGTCGTCCCGGAGCGAGTCCGAGAGCGCGTCCAGTTCCGCGTACTGCTGCTCGCCGTCGGCCTCTTCGGCGCCGTTGAGCAGCCGCAAGAGTTCTTTGCCCGTGGCCAACGCCGCCTGAACGCGACCAACACGGTTACATCGCGCTACGCGACTAATATAGTCGAGGAGCCTCCTCGTTTAACTTTATAAAATTTAGATTTTTTTCTCTCTTCCTATATCGCCACATCGGACGAGAGCACCCACCTCGCCTCCCTCCCAGAGCAGCTGCAGAGCGGCCAGCGTCCAGAGGGGCCACTCGGCCGTCGGGTAGTGGTGCCTGGCCAGGCGAGCGGCGTGCAGGGCCCTCGAACCCCTGGGGCCGGCCGCCGCGCAGGACCAGAGCGACGCCGCCAAGCGCAGGCCGCCGCCGCACTCGGCGCGACACGAGAGGCAGGCGCGGGTGGCGTCCTGCGTCAGAAACTTCGTTAACGAGGCGGAAAGGCGGGGACGAAGCGTCGCCGGTCGGCGGTCTCACCATGGCCTCGTTGAGCATGCCCTGGTGCACGTACTGCAGGGCGAGGTGGTAGAAGGCGAGGTGGTCGTTGTCGTCGATCTGCACGCTCTGGACCAGGTACTTCAGGCAGACCTCGTTCTCCGCGTCTTTCTCGATGCGACTGTTCGTTTTCTGCAAACGCCGTTTACACGTTTGTATAATATGTGCGACGAGCGAGTCCCTCGCGAGTTAACGCCCGAAAATGCTTCGGCTCCATCGCCGTGGAGAAGTTGCGGTCACCTGCGCCTTCATCTGGTGCCCGATGGCGCAGTGCAGGTAGCAGCGCGCCAGCCGGGGGGCCGGGGTGTCGGGGCGGGCTCGCGCCGCACTCAGCGCCTGCTCGGCCAGCTCGATGCCCTCCTCTATCTGCACACGAGCACTCGGTTACCGAATTTCGTTCTCGACGAGCGAACGCAGCGGATGCGAGAAGGCCACTCACCCATCCGGCCCTGAAGGCGGTGGTGGCGGCCACCAGCCTCAGAGGCGCGTCGTGAGGCACGAGAGGGGCCGCGCGACGGGCGACGCTCACGGCCCGCACGTGGGCGTTCCATGACGGACTACCTGAGGACAGACCGTCCCTTTAGACCCCGAGTTCGAACTCGACGCCCGATCGACGCGACCGTCCTCACCTTGCTTCGGCGGCGGACGAGCCAGCAGCGCCGGGCCGGAGTCGTGCCCGGAGGCGGCGGCCGTGGCGAGGGCTCTCTGCCGCCAGATGTGGCCGCACCCGAACGAGAACTTCATCGCGCGCTCCAACGACTGCAATTATGGTAAATGAGAAGCTGCCGGACGTTATTTCCGAGCCGTCGAATGCGGTCGGTCACCTCCAGCAGCAGCGGCAGCTGTCCCCAGCGCGTGACGGCGACGGCCAGGAGGTCCACGAGCGCCACGGCGTTGTGCAAAGAGTGGGCTCGAGCGGCCTCGAACTCCGCGCTCTGCGAGAGCACGGCGTCCCTCACGGCCATGGCCTCCCCCACCACCAGAGACAGCACCACCTCCTCGTGCACGTTGCGGGGCACGAACTGTTCGCGAACATCACTTTAGACAGATTTCTCCGATCGAACGAACCGAATACGGGAGAACTACGAATACCTGGTTGATGGCGGCGTACTTCTTGGGTTTCCAAGGTCCGTCCGAGGCTTGTTCCTCTCTGCGCCTGCTTAGAGTTCCCCCGGTCGGCGGGGACACGCCTTGCGGGGCTTTGTACACCTGCGATATATATATATACATAGTATTCGTACATGTCATACGCCCGCCCAACCCGACGCTTGCCGACTGGCGATCGATGACGAACTGACCTGTCCCGTGACGCCCCTCATGAGCACCTCGGCCAGCTGTCGAGCTAGCGTCAGCCGCAAGGCCTGCGTGGCCACGGACTCCACCGCCGTCAGCATTTCCCGATACCTTCGAATCATAACCAAAGAGTGACGGAGTGAGCGAACGAGTGTGTGTGAGAGTGATCTAAATGATCTGTTCATTAGACCTAGGCCGTAACTAACGTAGCACTTGTATTTTACTTTGTATAATAAATATAATAATACATTGTATATTAACAATTAATTAGCAAAGAAAGTGTTACATTCAAATTGATTAATTTAAAAAAAAACCGTAATGAGCTCTATAAAAATAGGCATGCAATTTTTTGTGGACTAGTTATAATTTCAATTTTAAAATTTTACTAGCTACTACAGGACTTTAGTTCAAGTACAATTGGTATTTTATATTGCAAGTTATACGAGATTTATTATTAGCATTTTGGAGACTTGAGAAATGGGCGTATTTCACGTAGCACTTTTAAGCTATTAGTAATATTTTTCGTTTGTTTTATTTTTATAATATTTAAAAGTTACTAAATCTAAATCCTGAAGTAATCCACTTGGAAGGTGTTAACATATATTTTAATAATTTAATAGCAGAGATAGTGAAACATATATATAGTTCATATACCTCTCACCGAGACAAATTGTACAGACATTACCGAAACTTATTCTCTTCTATATACACCAGTTTAAGGTTAATTGTCTTTGTTTTTGTGACACCTTAGAATCTAGCACGTATCATCACGTCATTTCTTTGGCGTCGGGACGTGACGACCCCATCGCCCACTGGTGAAATAACCTGTGACAGAGGTTATTTCATCAGCGCAATCAGTCAACCCCTTCCTAGTGGAAGTGCCATGCTGTTGCCTTCGGGCTTCAGCCAAATGGGCAGGCACGACCGGGGCAGTACCACTGTCTCTCAGAAAACCGGCGTGAAGTGATGCAAAAGGTTCGCCTTCTTGTATTTGCGTTTCGTGCTGTGAGAGAGATTCCCGGAGCCCATCCCCCCCCCCCACAAGAAATATGAAGGTGCAGAAAAACAGAATCTACCCCAGGGGGTACGACACGCGCTCGCGGTGGAGAACGCCCCTCTTGGCGTCCACCACCGGGACACTCAGCACCCGGTGGTGGACGCACAGGCTACCCTTCGTATTCTGGGGGGGGGCAATTCTGTGCTCAATAGTAATCATCCTCGGGGCAAACGGAGCAATAATACAAAGGCACCCCCGTCCACACTCGCCGTGGACTTCACAAATGTTAGGTGGCTTAATTCTAACATCAACGCTGTCCACTATCATCTAGAGACTGCGAAGCCGGCCTTGCTCTTTCTTACCGAGACTCAGATATCCTCCCCGGCTGATACTTCCCACCTATCCTACCCGGGGTACAAATTGGAACATTCATTTGTGCCGCGGGCTGGAGTTTGCGTGTACGTCAGAGAGGATATCTGTTCTCGTCGCCTCGGGACGCTTGAAGGAAGGGACCTATCTAACCTCTGGCTGCGCGTAGACTGCGATGACCATCCGCGATTCTACGCATGCCTGTATAGGTCCCATAGCGGAAATACCAAAACTGACCCGACTCATTGAGCACATCCAAATGGCTACAGATTCCCTGCTCGAAAGGGTTCCTACCGCTGAAATCGTGATACTTGGCGATTTTAACGCCCACCATGCCCATTGGCTCAGCTCTGAAACCACCGATCACGCGGGAAGATCCTTTCACGATTTTGCATTAGCCTACGACCTGACACAAATGGTCCCTGCGATTACGCGAATACCAGATGTGGATGGTCATAAACCCTCTTTGTTGGACCTTCTGCTGACTTCGCATCCGGAGAACTATCAAGTCTCTGTTGACCCACCATTGGGTTCATCGGATCATTGTGTGGTCCGGAGTACTGTGCCTTCTACGCGCCATTCACGGCCCCGCTTTATGGGTAGTCGCCGTATTTGGCACTATAAGTCAGCAGATTGGGACGGGATGCGGTCTTTATTTGCGTCCTACCCTTGGGGGCCTATGTGCTTTTCGCCGGAAGCTCCAGATTCCGTTGCCGCCTCTGTCGCTGAAGTGGTTCTGCAGGGCATGGAACTCTTTATTCCATTTTCTGCGGTGCCGATCGGTGGCAAGTCTCAGCCCTGGTTTAAACGTTCTTGCAAGGCGGCCTCGCGTCGAAAGCGAGAATGCTTTAAGGCATGGGCGGAAGCGGCGAAATCTCGTGATGCCAATACCAGCGAACTTAAAAAAGCATATAACTCAGCCTCCAGGTCCTTCAAACGGGAAATCACTCAGGCAAAGTCAGAGCACATTGCCAGATTTGGCGAGAGATTGGCCCAGCTCCCTTCAGGGACTCGAGCCTTCTGGTCTCTCGCCAAAGCAGTCCAAGGGAATTTTTGTCAGCCCGCCATTCCGCCACTGCACAGGGAGGATGACTCTCTGGCCCACACTGCGAAGGAGAAGGCCGACCTTTTGGGCTGTCTCTTCGCGTCCAACTCGACTTTGGATGACCGCGGGAGATCACCACCGACCATTTCGCGGTGTGATTCTTCGATGCCGGAAATCACATTCCGGCAACGTGCTGTCCGCAAAGCACTATCTTCCTTGGACATTCATAAGTCGAGCGGGCCGGATGGTATCCCCCCAATTGTGCTGCGTACTTGTGCCCCTGAGTTGGCTCCGGTCTTAACGTGCCTTTTCCGGTACCTGTACTCGCTCGGCACTGTCCCGAAGTGCTGGAAGACCGCTTTGATGCATCCGATCCCTAAAAAAGGCGATCGCTCTGATCCGTCCAACTATCGCCCAATAGCTATAACCTCCTTGTTCTCCAAAATAATGGAATCCATTGTTAATTGCCAGCTCTTGAGGTATCTAGAGGGCCACCAGCTGATTAGCGATTATCAGTACGGCTTTCGTCGTGGTCGTTCGGCTGGTGACCTTCTTGTATACCTTACACATAGATGGGCAGAGGCAATTGAGTCCAAGGGGGAGGCGCTAGCGGTTAGTTTGGACATAGCGAAAGCCTTCGATCGGGTGTGGCACAGAGCACTGCTCTCGAAGCTTCCAGCCTATGGGCTTCCCGAGAAATTATGCGATTGGATCTCCAGCTTTCTGGCCGATCGGAGCATCAAGGTCGTCATCGACGGAGCATGTTCCGACCTAAAACCCGTAAACGCTGGGGTCCCACAAGGCTGTGTTCTATCCCCGACCCTATTTCTTCTGCATATCAATGATATGTTGAAACTTAGCAACATTCATTGCTATGCGGATGACAGCACTGGGGATACTTTTTACACTGGCCGGGCAGGTATTTCTCGGGCAGTTGTTGATGAGTACCGAAACAAACTTGTGTCTGAAGTCGAAACTCTACTACGTGGAGTCTCAGATTGGGGCAGACAAAACCTAGTCCAATTTAACCCCAAGAAGACACAAGTTTGCGCGTTTTCCGCTAAAAAAACACCCTTTGTCGCTACTCCTCTTTTCGAAAACACTCTTCTTAAAGCCACAGCCAGCATTGGAATACTTGGCGTTGACATATCGAGCGACGTTCAGTTTCGCGGTCACTTGGAGGGAAAGGCTAAATTAGCCTCCAAAAAGCTTGGTGTGCTCAGCAAGGCGAGGCGGTACTTCACTCCGGGCCACCGCATGCAACTATATAAAGCGCAAATTCGGCCCCACATGGAGTACTGCTCTCACCTCTGGGCGGGGGCTCCCCAGTACCAGCTCCTTTCACTTGACCGTATACAATGCAGAGCGGTTCGAATCGTCGACGACCAATCCCTCTCCGAGCGGCTTGATCCTTTGGCGTTGCGTAGAGATGTGGGGTCACTCTGCATCTTCTACCGCATTTACCATGGAGAGTGTTCAGAGGAGTTGTTCGGATTAATACCTGCAGCTGAGTTTCATCATCGGACGTCGAGGCAGAATACGAAATTCCACCCGTATCACCTCGACGTCCGCCGTTCCACAACTGAGCGTTTTTCAAGGCAGTTTTTGCCGCGCACCACCACTATGTGGAACCAGCTGCCCACTGAAGTATTCCCGAACCAATTCGACTTAGGGTCCTTCAAGAAAAGAGCGTACCAATTCTTAAAAGGCCGGCAACGCACTCGCGAGCCCTCTGGCATTGAGTGTCCATGGGCGGCGGTATCACTTAACATCAGGTGAGCCTCCTGCCCGTTTGCCCCCGTTCTATAAAAAAAAAAAAACGTATCTGATAGATTTAAACGGGGTATTTCACCAATAGCAGTATGGACGCTTAGTTTGTAGTCGAGTCATTTACAGAGTGTATCAAGTTATGATTTGATAGAATGGTATTGGAATTAATAGTTGTATTGTTAACCTTTCAGAAAAGTTTCAGAATAATATAAAAAAACTAGAGATCATTTTTAGTATACCTGAAGTCGCTAAGATATAGTTCCATAGAATTTAGTTTGTTAAGAAGTCCTATGTTTGGGCTCCGCATGAAGCTAAATACTGCCTTATGTTGGATACACATACAGAATAAATTTACACGATACCTTTATTAGACTGCATGGCGTCATCCCAACTATCCTTTAATGTACCCGACATTATGTGTCTTAGGGATGGTGGGGTTGGCCTACTATGTGCTTAAAAGCCTTGAGGGGGCTAGTGTGCAACCCAAGTGTCCTCCAAGACGTGGGTTTTTATGTACCTAGGGGATATGTGCGACGGCGGTGGTCAAGGTTGTTTACGATTCCAAGCGCCAGAACCAGTCTGTTGCACAGATCTCCGTTATCAAAGACGTTGCGCCTACTGAATGCTACCTCCGACACTATCGACATATTTATATCTTCACAGATTGAATTCACAGTAGTGATATTGTATATAATATGTGTTTAATATTAAATAATTTATTATATTTTATTTTTTCTCGACATTATCGTATTGGCATAGTCTGTAAGTATAATGTATGTATTTCTGTAATAAATAAATAAATATTTTGGTGTAATAGTTGCTTATAAGGTCATTTCGTGAAGTATTCGAGTCTTCATTAAAAATATTCATAATCAAATGAAAAATTTAACTGTTTACATACATTTATTAAATATTATATGTACCAGAATGTTCTTATAAAACTTTCGTAAAAATGTCAGGTAAACTTCTAAAATGTTAAAAGTAAGATTGAGTAGAACTGAATGAAAGGTAAGAGATTCAATATATCTTATTTTTCTTGTTATTGTAACATAGTTTCCATCAGAAAGAAAAGAAAGATCCTTTAGAAATTAAGTTATCTATTTTGATTTGTGTAAGCTGCACAAAAATATGTTAAAATACAACTCAAGTCACATCAAAGAACTATGGATTCATTTAATTTATATTTTCCTTCACTACTTCCTAAATTCATTTGGAAATTTATTGGGTGTTGTATTTGTTTTATTGAAATGTATTAGTTTCATGAAAAAAGTCTCTTATAATGTTATCACCACAAATATAACTTTTCACTAATTTACTTTTTATTTGAATTAAACTATTTATAGAAACAATTCACGGAGTTAATGTTTACAGATCATGCGCCATGGAATAGAAAAGAATACGCGATGCGATACTATAATATGTATATTATGGACTATGTGGATGGGCTTCGACCAAATTGGAACAATATGTTTGTGATATGAATTCAAAATATAGAGTGAATTCTAACACAATCATTTGTATCCATGAGTATTATACATTCATAGCACATTTAGTTCTCTCCTGTTACCTGTCGATAGCGGCGGTGAGTCGTCCGGCCCGAATGTGCAAGAGAGGCGCCCTCTGAAGGGCAGTCTCGAGGGTGGCACCCGCCCTGGCGGCCGACGCCCTCTGGAGGTACAGCAGCGTCAACTCGGACGCAAGTTCGAAACTACGAATCTGAAATTTGCCATAATCGACTTCAAACATAATGTTTTACAGTTAACCTCCAACTTTATCAAATAAAGACGAACAAATTTTAAATATAAATAAACCTTTTTTTTTTAAAAGTTGATGAAAATATTTTGTTTATCGTGTCACGTTTATATATTTTAAAGACACACACATACAAACAGAAGAAAACAATCAAATGTGATAAGCGGCATTCATGCTCGAATTACAGTAGCAAAGGCAATAACATGTACATGTGATGCCCCACATTCATCAAAATTGTATGTAGATAAGAAGGCTTTAGCAACTGAACTTAGAGATATTTTTAACTTAAAGATAAGAGTCAACTAAAAGTCAAAGAAACAGTTCAGGATAAGAGGCTTATTATTATTATAAATATCTCCAGAAATGGTGGTGGAAAATTGTACTTAGATATTATGTAAGTAGTTAGAAAAGTTATTAAAATGAGAAATTAACTTATGTATAAAAGGAACCCTTAGTTTTATGTTTACCAACTCTGCCTCACATTCGGCTTGTTTAAACTTGCTGGTAGACGACGGTAACACACTCTGCTCCAAGCATAGCCCTTTAATAGCATACGACTCGGCTACAATGCGAAGACTTCGACTGAAATAGCGTTGTTTCTAATTAGGAAATCATTACTAAATAATTTTTTAAATTATTCACATCTCCCTCATCTTCATTTTAAGAATGTAAAGTAGCACATAACGTAATATTAGTAGTAGTTATTCATATATTTGGTCATATACTATCAATAATTACCATATTACATCATGCACCACTTCTTTCATGACTGTGACTCATAATCCAATATTATCCAAGTAAAAGTTACAAATTCCATGGAAAAAATGAACTATGATTAAAGTTAGTAGATTTATCTCTTTTTTTTCGGATGTCTGTGCTTACATAATCTTTAGAAACTGGCTTTTTTCTAGCAAAAACTTTATAGACAATGAGATCAATATTTGCTAGAAAATAAACCATTTTGGAAACAAATATAACTTTATCAAAATATGTTTAGCAATTTATCAATAAACCAACCAATATTATATATATTACAGATAATTTTCAAGCCATTTAAATTAATGCAACAACAAGTTACTTTAAAGCAAAGTCAGATAGATTCTCATACAAAATGTATTTTTTGTTTTATTTAGGTATTAAATATTCTAAATCACATGCAACATAAACAATTTTCTAGTAAAGTTTGTTAAACTTACACAGGCAATTCTTTCTCGGTCAAAGTGTTTAATTCTGCAAACTTATAGTGTTTTAATGCATCATCATATGATCCACATGCAAAGTGAAGCTTGCCAAGCAACAAATGAGCATCTAATGCAACTCCTGCTTTCTTTCCGGCTTCGTCTGTAGCCAGTGTCAAGTATCCTTTAGGCTCGGACAACTCTCTCTGAGCACGCTCTGTATTTTCTTTGATAGGAGGCCATTCATCTAGATAGACTTCTAACTTGCCTTCCCCAATCAAGAAGTGTGCAAGGCTCTCTGGAACACGACAATTAACAAATAGTATAGTTAATGTTTTCAAAAAAATTTAACTTTTTTTAAGTACACTAACAGTATAGTAGGGCTTATACAACAAAAATGAATTGGGCATATGCAAGCAGAAAAACATAAATAACAAAGAAAGAAGTTGGATCAGGCATAAAGTTAAAATCTCTAAAGCCTCAATTTTTGTTTTGCCTAATTATCTTTAACAAAATTGAAGAGCCAATATTAAAAGATAGTGTTTACTATACTGGTTGTATTATGATGAAATACGACGTTTAGTAAAGTGCAGTGAATCTTTTACCGTGCTGTGGTGACCTGGCCTTGAGTTGCTGAGCTAACTCTACAGCCTTCTTCCAATTAGACTCCTCGCGACTCTTTTCAATATCGGTCTCGTAGGTTCGCACAGAATTTTTACTTCTCGATGTCATGATAATACCAGTTCATACAATAGATGTCACAGCATGTATTCACAAATTATCATTTTATGATAACATAACAAAATCTTAACAAATAAATCGAAATAATATTCAGTCTACAGTCCTAACTCCACTCGACATTCCCCCTCCTATCCGATGACCGATCAGATGACAGAACATGAGAGATAGGGATGTGAAAAAATAATCGATTATTAAAAAAATCGATTTTATCCCTACATGGAGAATGGAGATGGCTTAACAATATCTTCAGACTTCAATCGACGATCACTAATCATTAATCATAATCACTCCTCAGCGGTTCAGCCTTGAGACCCATTAACAGAAATTACAGAATCATACACTAAATGTCATCTGACATCTGCATAATGGTAGACTCTGTGCGTTGTCTGTCTAAGAACATTATAATATTAATAACATAGATGATAATATACAGTATAGTGTATACACTACTGACACAGACGTTCATTGGTTGGGGTGCGCTATACAGTTTATCACATCATACTTTCAAAGATAGGTTGCGATCTTATATAAATCTGGTTTTATTTGATGATTATAATTTATTTAATTAAACTAACCTGAGTTCGTAAAAAAATAATGTAACATAAACTTGTTAATTTCTTTGAATTTTTATCCTTAATAACATGAAATACTAGATGGCGTTAGGTGTTTCAAACAAAATTATGATCATTGATACATTAATAAATAATTTTTAATTTACGATGAACCATAAACGTTTAATAATAATTACTATTTTTTAGTTTATATAATATAACTTTAAACCTTTTTTTTATAATATTTTACATACACATGTACCAAAATGTTGATCTAGAATAATAATTAGAATTCTCATGATTCTGAGATGTTGTAAAATTAATTATATTTTTTACGTTCTGGTAAGTACCTGTATCATAATATTTTTACTTTTATTGATTAAACAATGTAAACTTTTGAACGTCATTAAAAATTGAAATAATTATTGTAAATTTACGCCGACGCCCTTGTCGCCGAAAGGACGAGAGGAATATCACGATTCTTTGATCTTTAATTTCAGAATTCATTAAAAATTTAATTGCATTGTTTCGCGTCTCTTTTATTCCAAACCAAATACTATTACAATTCCTAATGAAAAATACACGCATTGGATTTATATTTATTTTTCTCATTGAAATACAACAGATAACAGAATCTACTTTATCCAAATTTCGTATACAAAGTCGAGCGAACTCATTATTCTATAAATAGCTTTAAAACTTATCAACTGTGTTTTCCGGCGACGTCGCGGGGAGGCACTAGGCCGTGACTGACACTGTCCCTCGGTACTATATCCACGCGGGACGGATTACTTCCAAGAAAACTTTTGGTTTTCTGTAACGAAAGAATAAAGAGACCATTAGATATTACTGTGATAGTCACATTATAAAAACATACCTACACTTTATTTATTAAAATATTTTTTTGAAAATTTCAGATTCCAAGGTATCCCTATTCCCTGTGGTAGTTGAAAGAGATTTATCCTGTATGGCTTTCATTTTATGTCCTTGTCAGTTCTAAATGGTTCATATTCTATAATAACAACAGGCAATATCTATGAATATTGCAAACAAATAGCGTTCAACGTAAAATAAAATAAAAGCTATTCTAATTGTTACGCAGTTGTGATGCAACTAGCCTTACTTCAAGCCAAGAATAAAGTCCGCACAATGATGTAGGAACAGAACCCGCAATCGAATCTGTCTTGTTCCTTACACGTGGTGATGTCAAATATGTACTAATAAATAATCACCAGGCTTTCTGAATTGTATATTTTCTATTCCCATTTGTCTCGTACTGAATATATTAAGATTTTCCATTGCATATTTTAAAAACGCAAATTGAAATTAAGTCTCGCTATATCTCGTTTCTGACGAAAGCAAAAAAGGAATGATACTCTATAGGGTAGTTAATCTAACGAACTGCGCTTCTGAATATTGAAGTGGCTCAATAATATTAAACGGTTTCCGAGTGCAGGGAAGACGGAAAAATGTTTATTTTCATTGGCCCATATCCGCTGCTCCGAGACTCGTTACTTTATAATTTCCGCTCTACCCTTACAACAAGTTATTTCGTTTCACAACACCGCAGTAGATGTTTGATGACTTAATTATTTCATATTTCGTCTATAACTTTACTTTAATTGTTAATCGTGATTTGTATTATATTGAGAACAATTAGATCTTGTCTCTATATCTCAAGTAACTAGAAACAAAAATATTAATATCAATAATTCATCGTTTTTACATGCGCAATCTGTAGAATTGAATAAATCCGATCCAGCGCCAACTGATGATTCAGCATTCAGATACATAAAAGTAAAGCCAAAGTCAATAACGAATGTGTGAAGCCTCCCAAAGCGCATCTATCGCTAGGCATGGGCGCGGCAGAGGGGGCGGTCGGGCGGGTAGGGGAGCACCCCGTTCACTGTAAAACGAGCCTGAACTGCCTACATGGATAATATTACGTTAGTACACCGGTATATGTGTGCGTAACGTTGAGCAGGGCTTGCAATCTTCCATATTCCGATCGAAAATTCATTAACGAAGTACTTGTTATTGACGCCATACCTAGTAAACTCAAACACATACTGATACTACTAAATAAATACTTACTTACTTCTATTTTAGTATTTCAAAACTCACCTCCAGTCATGTTTAACACAATGCAAGGAAGTTCTGGTCTGTTACGTCGGGAACAATTGATTATCAATTACGGTCTGACAGAATAAAACGCAAATAACTTTGACATCGTTCCCTTGGACTTTTTTGACTAAGTGTAGCAACCCTATTTAAGCAGGGGTGGCAACTGGTAAGGGGATGAATGACGTAGGTCAATGTCGGGGCGGCAGCCGCCTCGCACCGGCAAATTGGTTTACGACTCTTCAAATTGCAACGTTAATTAATTATATCTTTTAAAATCAATTTTATTAGAGGTCTTAAGACTGGCCGTAGAAGGTTTAAGTAGGAGAAGAATCTCCTAGAAAGGAAATACATGACTGTCTCGCATTTCGACATTGTTTACTATTCCTTATGGCACACACATTTATAATGATTTACGTTGATATTATACAAAAATAATGACACACCCTGTTTCGTGTATATCTTGTTTGCATATTTCTAATAAGCAGTTCAATAAGTTCTTTAACCTTTTTTATTGTACGTCGTATTATTTAAACTCTACACAAATCTCGTACAGAGTGGTCACATTGAAATTGTCTATATTATGGTCATTATATATATGATTATCTTTAAACAAAAAAGTAATTTTCCACTTGTCACTTAAGAACAGTTGTGATTGATGATGTATGATTTGTTAATCCCGTCCCGAATTAGCAGGATTATTTTTATAAAATACAGAAAAAATTGTTCAGCAGATTGCAATCAAATGAGAATAATTATTGACCCAAACTGTGTCACATATCACAAGCATACAATTTTTGAGAGTAATCCTACACCTGACATTAATTATATATAACAAACATTTCCAAATCTGGAATATCTAATTTATACAAAAAGGTTCAAACAATTACAAAAACAAAAATGTCAATTTTTTTTCAATACATTTAAAGTAATACCTAATTCGGCTGTGTTGCGTGATGGTGTAAAAGTGAGGGTGTGCTCATGGTGCAGGTGATTTAGCGCTATGGATATTCTTAATACCTTTAAGCATATTTCACAATAGCTAAACAAGTCAAGGCTTAAATATTGGTCGTTGTATGTTTGGGCTGCGCTGCGGCTAGTTTTAGTTGTTGTATGGTTAATTTAGAGGTTGGATATTACAGCATACGACTAATAGGAACAACGGAAGTGATACAGAGGAGCGTAGATAGTGTATCAGTTAACATTGTGTCCATAACTGTCTCAGCACAGAAATGTTAGGAATCGTGGTTGATCGACAAAGCAGGCTATTTCCATGGCTACAAAACTATTATTACATTCCAAGTCGAGAACGCAAACATTACCAGAAAATGGATGTTTATTCCCTTTGTGTATTAAAAACATGTGATTCACTGACTCTTAGAATAAATACCTATATTATGGTATAAAACCATTATGTAACGTACTTTCACATGAGATGGTGTATTTAAGTCAGTGCTGTCTTCAATAGATTATACTGTCTAGCTCCTAGCCTCCCTTTCTTTATTATTTTAGTTTATTATATAAGTAAGCAAATCTATCTGTTAATGTAGTCGAACAGATCGTGAAGTGAACATTAACAATATTTGATCAGATATTTATTTAATTTCACTCACAATGCTATTTGGTTTTAAAAAGTTATTCAAAAAGGAAAACAGGACACGTCCTGGACATAATTGGATGTTGTCATCCATATCCCGGTAAGACAATGCTACGAAGCTATGAATTTTCGTAGACTCGTAGCAATGAAACGCTGAATCAATGGAAGTATTTATTTTCATCTACCAGCATTACCTTAAAACACTTAAACGAATATTGTTTGCTTATTTTAATTTATTAAAACATGATTGAACTAAATTTAATATACCAAGTAATAGAAGAGAGGTTTTATAAAGTGAATATATAAATTTATGAATCTTTGTCGCGATAATAGAATGTAGGCGAGATGAACGTAGCTGTGTCGTAAAAGCACAGACCACGAAGAGTTTACCATTTTTTCAAACTCATAATGTTGCCAAGATGAGTTCGTTTAACAATACATTACAAGAAGTAGATAACTATAACCAAGCCGTATCAACCTTATACTAAAATAAATATTAGTTTTTATTATTATTTGATACTACGGATAAAAACATGTAACATTTTTTCTACCGTATATTACTTAACAATAAATGAATAATGAACCTAGCATCAACGCCGTTGTAAAGAGAGAGTGCCAGTTGTCTCTGGGCGCAGCGGGCGGAGGTCTGTGGTGCGGTATCGAGCGAGAGCGCGTCCTTGGCCCGTTGCAGCGCAACCGAATTATTCAGGTTTCGGCAACGTCGCACTTTCATATTCCTTTGTTCGAGCGCCGCCAGCGCCACCTCCGACACTGCGACACTTTCATGAACAATTAACACTCCGCTACAAAATGCAAATATAGCACTTTGAATTGCCCTGCTAAGAATGTAACGTGAATTAGTCAACATATTAATAGCGTGATAGAAACTGCGCTTGTTAACAAAAATATCACCTCTTTTCGCTTTATATAGCACGAAACGATTGACACCTGCTGTAAAGAGGTTTCATCACTCCCACATGACGCAGAAATTGTACAGGTAGTATCGTAAATATCAGAAATTCCCATTCCCCCGCCCTCTGCCCCTCCCCGCTGGCACTCCCCGCTGGCCTGGAGTAATCTCCCTCGACGCGAGTTTCATAAACTTTCAGGTATGATTGTACATTAATAGGGATGCTGCGTACTTGTCGATGAAATCCGAGACGCAGTTGGAAGTGTTTGATCTTTGTTTGGTTTCGATCCTTACGTAACAGCTATAATGGTACAGTGTCTCCTTCCCGTTTGTTACATAAAAAATAAATAATAATAGCCAAAACATTGAACCTATTTTATTGATAAAGCACTTTGATAAGACTATTTCAGACATTTGATTTACACTATGACAGTCAACAATGTGTATTTAGGCAAGCATAAAGTCACACAAAGCAAGAAAAATAAATTAATACTGAATTTATGTTTCAACATCAATGAAATAACTTTATCGATGTCGATAATCAGGCCCAAGAGGCACTTACAAGAATAAATTTTGCATACTGTAGCTTCTCTTTTTCATTTAAAACTTTGTAATAGCTAACTTAGATAAACATTTTTCTGGAGTTAAAAGAAAATGATTACAGTAGAACCTCTATAAGTCGAACATCAAGGGAGACGCCAAAAAATTCGAGTTATAGAGTTTTCAACTTATGGAGGATTTCGACTTAGGCGGATTTTGATTCGACATAAAGAGTTTGAGGTTTATTCTTATAAATTGAACACCTGACACAAAGCAAGCAAACACGTGTTTCCATGAGTCATAAATTTATTATTGTATACTCCTAAAATATTTTCTAAGAAACAATAGTGTACTCACATTGGCGGCAAGTTCTTAAAGTCGGTAACTTATTTTTGTTCGAACAATAGAGATAATAAATTCCAAATGATCAAGTTGTAAAGGTTGTAAAATAAAACGTTCCTATGTTCGAGATACAGAGGTCAAATTAAATTTTTCGAGTTATAGAGTGAAAATATGTACCAAAATGGCTTGGAGAGACTCGGTGATTATTTCGATTAACAGAGGGTCAAGATTTCAAGTAATGGAGGTTTTGGTGTTTTAAGGGAAGGGAACAAAACATTTTTTTCGAGATTTGGAGGTTTTTGACTTATCAAGGTTCGACTTAACGAGGTTCTACTGTATAATACATCATTACTTAAATAAGTAGACACTAATTTCATCACCTATCATTTCATCTGTGATCGATTGCGTACATTTGTTTGGTGTTTAAACAAACACTGTGACTAACTCTAAATTATTATTTAAGGTGTTAAAATCGGATTAAAAAGTTTGGTGGTGTTAGCAGTTGGCTTTTCATGTCCATGACAACGTAATAAATTCATAAACGCTACGGCCATTGTGTTGAATGTGACTATATTTTCTGTTCGATGGGGACAAATTACACCAAAAATAGAAAAAAATAGTTTACACGGCTCTTTTAAAATTAATACATTATGTAAAAAAAACTTAAATAAAATTGAATTTTAGTATTTTCTGCCATTTGAGTTGACTTAATGTCTTATAACCCCTGGACGGGGCAGAGGGCGTTCACAGTAAGCAACCATCGCGTTCGGTCTTGAGTTTCGCATTTACCTCGCTCTAAGTCTGTCCGGCTTTCTTTTCCTCATCTAGAACTGTTCGTCAGGTTTGCTTGGGACGGCCACGCTTCCGCTTTCCCTGTGGTTTCCAATCAATCTCTCTCTCTTCGGAGTGTATGGCCTATCATTTGGTAGGGTTCCACATCCACATCCTCGTCGAATATTCTGCGCTTCACTTGGGAAGAAACCCATTTAAAACCGAGCTTGTCTGGATGCTCTGAAGTTACAGCCCCACTGCCGGAATAGGGAACAGTGTCAATCTCATACTTGCCTGAAAATCCACAACGGTTCAATACAACCGAGAAGCTTTTAGCCAAACCAAAAAAAATATATAGCACAGGAATGTTATATGTTTTTTTTAATATTTCCTGAAACATGGAAAATTCTCAGTTAAAGTGTTAATATGGTCTCCACGCTGTTATTTCTAATTAGTCATGTTTTGGGTGTGGCAAACGCGACATCATCGGCTTAATTTAATTATCTTTCGCAAATTTATGACTTTGGCCATTAGTCGTGTACATAGTGCTCAATATTAAGCAAATATTAACTCGATACTTCAGCATAAGGATTTAAAAAGTTGCTCTGCTCCGTTGAAGCTTTTAATATCGTAGAAGGTAATTATGAAGCTCCATAATATATTCAGGGAAACAGAGTAAAGTTTGAGTTGTGTCGTTAGTGCGCTCATTAGTGACGCCGAGCCTCTCAAACTAGCCTAATTATGCCAACCCCACCCCGCTTCGATATTCATGAAATATTTTTAGTTTTGTTTGACATTGTTCTTTGAGCCGAGTTTTTAACAAATACACCAGTGTTTTGGGCCTGTGTTACTTTGAAATCTGGGTCACGGTGCCAGAGCTATCTCGAATCATGCTCTTACAAAAGACTGAACGTTAAAGCCGGATTTGCTGCGCCAAAATCTAACTAAATATGTGACTACAAAATGCGACATGTAAGCTAATCTACACAAATAACTACTAACCTAGATTCGTTCATTATTTCGTCATGTTTAAAGTTGTAGTACTTCTTGGGCATCGTTCTATGAAACTAAAATCTCTTTATAATCCCAACAATTCGCCTTTAGTCTTTTCTGTTTGTATATTGGGGCTTAGCTGAAACAAAGACGCTAAGCCCGAGGCGTGAGTACCGGGCAGGTCGTGTAGGTCGACCTAATTTCTGACTTGGCCAGTCCCCGTGACGTCAGCGTTTAAGGGCGCCCACAAACGATACTTAGTTTCATTGGATTAAAACTGTTCAACAATAGAGCCATGCCACTGAGCTAACCAATTTTTAAACTGAAACTTATTGTGGCGTTGATATCAGAATGTGAGAAGAAAAAGTTTTTATTAATTTGTTTCATAATTACAGTTTTGTAATTCTACTCTCGACTCCATTCTTTTTAATCTAATCTAATCTAATTAATCTTATTATTGTTTTGTCGTCTCGATAAATCTAGAATAATAATCTAATTTTGGCATTACATGATGACTCGCTTACATAAATTATGCGGAATATTTATAAGGCTATAGAGCTAAAACAATTCGTAGAAACTGGGTTTAAGCGTACCTTTGGAGACTGGCAACTAGTGAGCATTTAGCATAACAATAAGTGAAGCAGAAACAATAGCGAGAACTTTATGCAAATAGCAACACAAAGCGTCTAAAGTGGCTGCTTGTAGCGACGACCTTGCCTCCGACAACCCTCCACAGTACTTAACACTTGCAGTTGGATACCACTAAGCGACTATTGCCATTATAAAAAGAACAATGAATTGAAGAAGAGTTCATCATATTTTAGAGGATAGATACAAAGACTTTTATTCATAATTTCTACTATATTTTCAGTCAATTAGAAGTGACGTTTTCAAAATTCATTTCAGATTTAATTAAATGGAAGGTATATTGATTACTCTTTCAATGGCTACTATTTCATGAAACTAAAAAAACTATAAGTTTATTGCACTACAAAAAGTGCAGTAATCTAGGCAGCAATTTCTCTTAGACGTATCTAGCTTTAAACTGCATTAAGACTGCATATTTTTATATTATTTCTGTACCGTCGCTGAATACATAAGTAGATATTTACGTTTTCAAGTCACGATAGAATATTTGCAGTTATTTCGTAGAAGCTATATAACGGAGCAGGTTTAATGTACTCAACATTATACCTTAATATACTAAAGTGAATGTAACACTCCCATGTAAATGTATAATAATAGTATTGTCTTTGATTATCACCACACACATTTGATTATTATCACATTTGATTTGAGTCACCGTGACCACGCACGCTGTAAAGCACGCGAAACTTCGGATAAATTTAAAATTATGTTAAATAATTGTAAATTTATAATAATACATAACTTTAATCCGGTTAAAAAGTTTTTTCTTTAAATGTCTAATAATGCCGAGACATTTTGATGCTACAAATGATTATCTCGTATCATAAATAAATGAGAAAAGAAATAAGACGAAAAGGTTAGATATGAGGAACTACGTTCCAGGGCGTGACCTGTCGATCTCTATAGAAATGTACAAGAAAAGCATAAGAATTTCTATTTAAAAATAATGTGATACGTAACTCACATACTTCATATAAATACCGATCCTAACGCGAGCATTTATTGAATCGAGATTGCAATCTGGGATAGGCGAGATTGGCCGATAAGCTGCGGATTAGTTACGAGCTGACGGCTTCCAGATGGAAATATATCGGATCACTGTTCCTACATTCTGTCAACAAATGAATAATCGTTTCAGTCGCTTTCACTAAGCGTAGATAATTCTTCGAGTTAATTATTATGTTTTAGAAAAGCAGGAATATGTCTGTTTCAAATTGTGGTTGTAACTGACCCTGGCTCAGCATTATGCTGTGGAGCAGACGTGTTCCACAGCACTGGTCATTCTGTCAGAGACCACAACAGCTAGTTTGCGCCTCAGACGCAAAAAAAAACAAAAATCTAACAATAAGGACGTCTAGTTTAGGTGGGAAGGAATACAATAGTTTTAATGTACTAATATACTTAAGAAAATATAACGATGTCAAAGTAAAGCTGCATCTAAGAAGTGAGCAGAGCTATCGAGAGTGGAGTGGCGTGTGGAGAGGGCGGGAGGTCAACGAGCCGTTTGCGACTCGAGTCTCGGCCCTCACTTTACTCCTTCATATAACAAACTACAGCTAAAACTGTCACTATTCTCTCAGACAAACCTAACTTAACAAGAAATTTATTTTTTCTGTACAAACAAGTAGTCGACTTGTTGGTCACCTAATGTCAAAAGAAACATA